GGGGGATCTTTGTCCTTGAAGGGGTATGAGGGAGTGCGTGAGACAAGACGTCTGCAGGTGTGTGCGTGTGTTGAGAGACAGAGAGAGAGAGCGAGTGTCGGGGTTGAGAGCATGTGCGAGCATGTGCTTTTGTGTCTATCCGTCCGAGTGGGGAACTGAATAAAACTCCATGGAAACTGCAGACGCCGTCCTCAGCACACACTCCACCTCTCTCCCCCGACTCTGCCCTCTCACCACGTTCTCTCTTCTCCTAATCCTCTCGTAATCTCTCTCACTTTCTCTATTCCCTCTCTCCCATCTATTTCTCATCTCCACTCTCAACCGCTCCAAATACTTCTCTTCTCAATTTCCTCTCTTTCCAGCGTCTCTCTCTCTCGGAGCTCACTCCCTCCTCCTGTTTCCTCTCTGCCTCGAGGTCCCTTCTAGTTCTCTCTCTCTCTCCTGTGTCCTCACTTCTCTTCCTCATCATCTCCTCTAGCTCTCAAGAAGATGCTCGGTGTAGTCGGCACTTTGCTTCGTTCATCGTTTCGGTTTTTTTTAATGCTTTGCCTTATGTAACCCCCCCCCCCCCCCCCATTTTTAAATGAAAGATCTCTCTCTCTTCTCTCTCTCTCGGTCTCTCCGTGCCCAGAATGAAACTGCTATGATGCAAAATCCACAACCGCTGCCCGTGGGAAGTGGTGCCAAAACTGCGCGGGGGGAGAGAGCGCGAGAGAGAGAGGAGAAAGGACTCCACAAAAACAACAAAAAACAACGGACAGTGTCAAATCTTTGCTCCGCTTCGCAATGATTTTTTCTTAGGGTCCAGATTACAGAAATGTCGCGTGTACTTTGAACTTCTTTCGCACACACGCACCTAGCCGACCGCGCGAACCGGAGGCGCCGGGACATGTTGCGTTTATACCGCAGGCAATTCTGAATTCTGATTCACGATAGTTTTTTGGTATAAAGCCAATCGGAGAGACAGAACCATCCAAGCACGCGACACAGCCAAACAGATCCAAGTCGCGGGGCAAATGTTTTCCCATCGATGTTTTTGTCTTTTCAGAAAGAACAATTTAAATCCCGGTCGCTCTGAAAATCGAGCGAAACAAATGTTTTAACCGAAACCCAAATAAACAAAGAATTCGCCACGTTGTACCCGTGGCGTGGACAAAAAACTTTGATGCGTTTGGCCGTGGTCAGGCCGTTGGTGGGTGCACAGCTTCGGCATGAACGTCCACACCCACACGTCCCGAAATCTCAGAGGAGCCAATTTGCGAATGATAACGTTGGTCGAGGAAAACAACCACCACCACTACCACCACTACCACCACTACCACCACTACCACTACGTTTGCTGATGATTGTTTTGCAAACGACACAGCCACGCACCACCCCAATGCATACCGACTACGTATGTACCGTGCAGCATTGGAATCGCTGAGATATTTCTGGTCGTGACCTTGCCTAGATTAGGGCAAATGGGCCATCCATAAATGAAGTCACGCGCGATTTTGGACGATTTTTTACCCCCCCCCCCCCCCATCGTAAGTCAGACCAGACCCCTAAAATAAAACATGCTTCAAATCGCTTTAAACTATTGTCATTGTAGTGCGTATTTAATGTGGCGCTGCACTCTGATGTTGTAGGAGAAAACATTTATTAAAAAGTCTATTTAATTAAGTAGAACGTGTTGTCTATATTTATTTAAAGTTGCGCATTTTGATGTGACGTCACATTTCTCAAACCCCCCCCCCCCTCGTCACACATCGTCACAAATGTCTGACCCCCCCCTCCCCAGGTGCGTGACGTCATTTATGGACGGCCCCAAATGACCTGCTGCAAGTGATTGGGGAAATCGATTGATTAGCTTGCTGGTTTTTCGTATCGGGTGTGGTAGGAACAGGGGAGGGTGGTATATATTAGCGTTTGCCCAAAACTGAAAGGGCTGTTGGGCGTATAATGATGACAAATCAGCCATTGGGCCTGCTCTCTGATTTCTTGGTGTTTGTTTCAGCCGCTGATGTGCACATCACCGTTTGGGCAATGTGTGCACTTTTATACGCTTTTGAGCTTGGCACGTGCGCTGGAACAGGATAAAATGAATCCGCGACAGAATTAATCACAAATTATGTTTAATGTTGTAGGCCCATATATGGTGTCATTTGGCATGGCTTTGCCCGTATAAGAAATTTATGAAACGGGAATTGACGATTTTCAACGATCCGATGCTCGATTACAGGAGAATCGACCGATGTTGAAGGCTACAAAGCTTGATCCACGCTCGAACATATAGCCGTGATATTGAGAATACATTTTTACATCGTTCAAGTGATTCCTGTCACGTGGTTTCTGGATCTCAAGAGACGATTTGTGGAAAGAAAAAGCGCCCCCCCCCCCCACATTAGGCCGCCCATTTGACGCCGATTGGATTCTTTCGACGTAATATTTTTTTGCATTAATTCCGTCGCGGATTAATTTTATTATGCGCACGCGCTTAGTTACAAACCCACGGGGAGCGTTGTTCACGTTGGGCCACCGCTTGCCCAACAGTTCCCGTGCAGATGCCAACGTCAGGCGGCGGGGGGGGGGGTGCAAGATCGGTATGCCTCATGGAAAATGCATAATCACACACGCGCACCACTCACACGACAGCTTCACGTGCGTAATCAAACGCACATGGGGGCACTTGTACAACGAAGCCGTCGGCTCAAAGAGGCGGTGGACTGGGCACGAGATGTTTACGCGCAGGAACGAAATTCCTCGAAGATGCAATCACGCCTCCAAGGACTACAACACAGGACCCATTTATCCACTTCCCAGGCAACGTCGACCCAACAACGTTGGCTCACCTGTTCCAACCACACTGCGGAACGTTGCACCGACGTTGCCATGTTTACTGGGTTCATGGCACGTGTTGCGCATCGTTCACGAAGACAAACCGGGTGGAAGGGGAGGAAGCCACCGTCGACGGGAGAGAGATTTAGAACAGAGTTTTCCGACTGTTGGGCCACGCCGCATGCGCATGGCACGCGCACCGGCAAATTGATTCCGTACAAAAATAAAATAAAAGACCGATGGATGTCGAATACAAGTTGTGGACTACGGTGGAAATGTAGAGGCCACCCAATCTCTGCCAGACGCAAGCCCGAAGTAAATGGAAGAACATATTTAGGATGGATTATAAAGAACCCCCCTCCCCTCCCACCCCTTGACGAGGGTCAAATTACGACGCTCGAGGACGGTAATGGAGCAGATTGGGAAGCACGAATCAGATTGGGGGAGGGGGTTCGGGTTGAGGAAGGGGGGTCGGGTAGGAGTCTCAGGTAGAGGTGGGGGCTCGGGTAGAGGGGGGGCTAGGGTAGAGGGGGGGGGGGCTCGGGTAGAGATGGGGGCTCGGGTAGAGGGGGGGGGCTCGGATGGGGGGGGGGGCTTGGGTAAAGATGAGGGGGGGCTAGGGTAGAGGGGGGGGCTAGGGTAGGGGGGGGGCTCGGGTAGAGATGGGGGCTCGGGTAGAGGGGGGGGGGCTCGGATGGGGGGCTCGGATAGAGAGGGAGGGGGCTCGGATGGGGGGGGGGGGCTCGGGTAGAGAGGGGGGGGGGCTCGGATAGGAGGGGCGGGGCTCGGGTAGAGTGGGGGGGGGTCTCGGCGAGGTTATTCTCGGCGACGTTAGGAAGACTTCTTCCGAATTATAAATTCCGAAAAGTGATATTGGGAGCCATCTCAGCTTTAAATAGCGACACTTGCACACATTACAACACGAGTCATCACACAACCAGAGATCCCTCGTAAAGACGAGACTGTAGGGGCAAGTGCTGTTGGCGAGTAGCACCGACGAAGGCCGGCACGGCACACGAGGGGGTGGGTGGCCAGCACCACGACCGGCCGCCTTTGTCTCCCCAGTGGCGATCTTTACACACCGCACCAGATACTTATTTGAGGCCGAGTCGACCTAGGTGAGACTCGGGACCGGTTGATCAAATCATCGTCACTGGTGTTGGCCGGGTTCGAAGCGCGGTGCGCTAACTGCTACACTACCGCTCCCCACTCGCATCACTACGGTCACATACATCCACATATACCCACATATACACATTGCACACACAAATACAAAGATCACCCACGAAGCCTTGGCAGACTTTTGGGGCAAGTGCTCTAGTAACCCACTTTTTGCACACACACACACAACCTAGATTTATGCTTAACATACACACACATCCACACCAATGCACATGTGCGGCACAGATACGCAGCCACGGATGTACATCTTCACACACTGTGTAAGCACGCACAAATACCCCCACATTTCCACAAACACACACATATACAGGTACACACAATAACATCTGAATACTCACACCTGTACAGGTACACATGCACATATATCTACAGATACACACACACACAGGCAAAGACCCCCCGTATAACCTTAACAGATTTTTGTGGCAAGTGCTGTTTGCGAACACCTACGAAGGACGGCAGGGCACACGATGGAGTAGGTGGCCAGTACCACGCCCGCCCGCCTTTGTCTCCCGAGTGGCGATGTTTAGACATCACACCAGGTACACATTTGAGGCCGAGTCGACCTAGGGGAGGTCCAGGACCGACCGGTTCAAATAATCGTCACTGCTATTGGACTCGGGTCGCCGGGTTCATAGCGCAGCGCGCTAACACCTACACTACCGCTCCCCACACACACACACACACCTGTACAGGTACACACACAGATAACCTGTACAAGTACACACACATTTCTACCTGTACACGTGTCACCCCCACCCTCTCTCACCTATCTCTCCACCACTCTCACCTGTCTCTCCCTCCACATCTGTCTCCCCCACTCTCACCCGTCTCTCCCTCCTCTCTCACCTGTCTCGCCTCCACTCTCGCCTGTTCCCACCACTCTCACCTGTCTCTCCCTCCACTCTCACCTGGCTCTCCCTCCACTCTCACCTGTATCTCCCTCCACTCTCACCTGTCTCTTCCTCCACGCTCACCTGTGTCGCCACCACTCTCACCTGTTCCCTCGCGCGAGACACCCAGGTGCGCAGCAGCAGCCTCATCCGGCTGGCGTGGAACTTCCCCGTCGTCTTCACCGCCACGAAGAGATCCGAGGACTTGAGGTCACGCCGAGGCCGCGTGTCCTCGTGGTGTCCACCACCACCGCCACCGCCACCGCCGCCGTCTCCCATCGTCCATCCACCTTCGCCTCCTCCATCTCGCTGCCCGAGGGACGAGTAGTCCCGGAGGTCGTCCGATGCAGCTCCTGCAAGCGATCCGTGCTGCTGCTGCTGCTGATGATATTGTTGTTGGTGGTGTCCCTGCTGCTGCTGCTGCATCATTGCAGCTTCGCGTTGGCCAAGTCCTGCCTTGAGATGCCTCGCACCTCCACCACCGCTCACGGTGCTGAAGAATTTCGTGAGACTATTCGGGACCTTGCTGATACTGCTGCTGATGCTGCTGTTGTTTTGACTACTGATGCTGTTTTGATTGCTACTGCTGCTGCTGCCACTTCTGGACCTGCCTTGCCATCGGCGCAAAAGTTCTCTCGATCTCAGATCCACGTTTGATTTTCCTGCCGCCGCTGCTGCTGCTGCTGCCGAGGATGATGATGATGCCGACAAGGTGGTGATCACGAAGGGTCTCGTCTCCGATACGGTAAGCGCGCTCTGTTGTTCGAGCATCAGCAAGAACGATGCCATCATGATGACGGTGCCCACCACCGCGAAACACCACCTCCTGCCCATATCCACCATGCCCCCCCCTCGACTCTGCGTGCAGTGTGTGGGGGGGGGTGTACGTTGAACTTCGTTCGCACCGTACGTTGCCAACCGTGCTAATCGGAGGTGCAGGGGGGGGTAAGGACAACAAACTAAACACGCAAATCTTGATTTAAAAATATATATTTTTTAAATCTATCGTGTACTGTCGAGGCAAATGTCAATTGCGGCGTAGAATCTTCTGCTCTTGAGTTAAATTCGTTTGTTCTTGTAGAGAGACGGAGAGAGCTGCAGGTCGCTTGCTACTCATCAGGCAATATCATCATCGCCATCAGTAGCAGCAGCACCACCGCCACCGTCTTGGTCGTCATCCTCCCTCCTCCTCCTCCTCGCTGTGCTCCGCGCTTTGAGTGGGTGGTGGGGAGAGGTGTGGGGGAGAGGTGTGAGTGAGTGGGGGGTGAGCGGGGGTGAGTGGGGGTGAGCGGGGGGTGAGCGGGGGTGAGTGGGGGTGAGCCGGGGGGTGAGTGAGTGGGGGGTGAGCGGGGGTGAGTGGGGGATGAGTGGGGGGTGAGCGGGGGGTGAGTGGGGGGTGAGCGATTCACTCCCCGCACCCCCACCCCGTGTCTCCTCTCTCTCTCTGCTACGTGACACGCCGGGTTTTATGTAAAATCGCTTCTCCACCCCACCACCACCTCCTCCTCCTCCAACACACACCTCCATTCACACAGTCACACACAATCACACACACACAGTCACACACACAACACGGCAACACACACACATACACACACCCACTCACACTCACAGTCCCACTCACTAAATCACACACACTCACAACACACCCACACCAACACAGTCACACCAACACACACACACAATCACACACCCACTCACACACAAGTCACACTCACACCCACTTGCTCACACAGTCATACACACACAGTCACACCAACACAGTCCCACTCACAACACACCAACACACACAATCACACATCCACTCACACTCACTCACACAACACACACAACACACTCACTCACACAGTCACACACACAATCACACAGTCACACACACAATCACACAGTCACACACACAATCACACACCCACACACACACAATCACACACCCACCCACACTCACTCACACAGTCACACACACAATCACACACTCACTCACACAGTCACACACACACACAGTCACACACACAATCACACACCCACACACACACAATCACACACCCACACACACACAATCACACAGGCAACTGCTCTCAAGTCCACTGTACTATGCCCTACTACTATTGCGTGTACAAAAACACTAATTGTCATGCACAGAAACACCCGCCAGCACTCAGAGATGCACACATACATACTAAAGCACACACACACACACAGTCGTGCTAACACACACACACAACACACGCTGTAGCCACTAACCAGAACACATGGGAACACACGCCGTCACACGCCAACACGCATTCCAATACACACACACAGTCGCCCCAACACACACACACAGTCGCCCCCACACACACACACACAGTCGCCCCAACACACACACACAGTCGTCCTAACACACACACAGTCGTCCTAACACACACACAGTCGCCCCAACACACACACACAGTCGCCCCAACACACACACAGTCGTGCTAACACACACACAGTCGCCCCAACACACACACACAGTCGTGCTAACACACACACAGTCGTCCTAACACACACACAGTCGTGCTAACACACACAGTCGTCCTAACACACACACAGTCGCCCCAACACACACACACAGTCGTGCTAACACACACACAGTCGCCCCAACACACACACACAGTCGTGCTAACACACACACAGTCGTCCTAACACACACACAGTCGTGCTAACACACACACAGTCGTGCTAACACACACACAGTCGTCCTAACACACACACAGTCGCCCCAACACACACACACAGTCGTGCTAACACACACACAGTCGTCCTAACACACACACAGTCGCCCCAACACATACACACAGTCGTGCTAACACACACACAGTCGTGCTAACACACACACAGTCGTCCTAACACACACACAGTCGCCCCAACACACACACACAGTCGTGCTAACACACACACAGTCGTCCTAACACACACACCGACACGCTCCACAACGTACTGAGAGACATCACACCAGCAACACTCGCACACTCCCAAACCTACTCGTCAAGCCAACACACACACACACACTCCAACACACACACCCTCAATCATACACACACACTCCAACACACACACACCTCAACCATACACACACACTCCAACACACACCTCAACCATACACACACACACTCCAACACACACACACCTCAACCATACACATACACACTCCAACACACACACACACATACTCCAACACACACACACACACCTCAACCATACACATACACACACCCCAACACACACACACCTCAACCATACACATACACATACTCCAACACACACACATACACACACTCCAACACACACACACCTCAACCATACACATACACATACTCCAACACACACACATACACACACTCCAACACACACACACCTCAACCATACACATACACATACTCCAACACACACACACCTCAACCATACACACACACACACTCCAACACACACACCCCTCAACCATACACATACACACACTCCAACACACACACCCCTCAACCATACACATACACACACTCCAACACACACACCCCTCAACCATACACACACACACACACTCCAACACACACACCCCTCAACCATACACACACACACACTCCAACACACACACCCCTTAACCATACACATACACATACTCCAACACACACACATACACACACTCCAACACACACACCCCTCAACCATACACACACACACACACTCCAACACACACACACCTCAACCATACACATACACACACTCCAACACACACACATACACACACTCCAACACACACACACCTCAACCATACACACACACATACTCCAACACACACATACACACACTCCAACACACACACACACCTCAACCATACACACACACACACACTCCAACACACACACCTCAACCATACACACACACAACAACAACAACAACCGCCATTCGCCACTAAGTGGCGGTGACGTCACCACGATGCTTGTGCCAGGCCAAGTGCACCTTGAGGCCACGTGAAGTGTCGAAAGCCCGCTGGCAGGAGGTCACGGGGCAGACCCAGGTGCCACTGGTCGACTGACCGAGATGACCGAGATGACTGGCTGATGCACCACCTGTGCCCCCTACTGTGCCAACTTGCTGTGCTTTAGCCACCCGGCGCTCCGCTCGTTGTTGTGAGCGTCGCTCCTCCGCCCTCCGTTGTTGTTGGAGGGCGACTGCCTCCAACTGCCCAGTAGCGTCCTTCACGAGCCTCCTCCACTGAGGCCGATCTTGACACCGCTGGTACCAGTCATCGGCAAGTCCACTCAGCTCCACGTCCTCCTGTACCACATCACTCCATCTCTTCTCCAGCCCGTGCCGCGCCCGTCTAGCCCCCTCGATCCGGCCGAACAAAAGCTGTTTAGGCATGCGGTGGCTGGGCATGCGGGCTACATGACCCAGCCAACGCAGCCTTGCCTGCCGGAGGAGCTCACTGATGGGACTTTGCCCAGATCTTTCAAGGATTTGTGAGCTCCTCACACAATCCAGCCTGGTTAAACCCAGGATGGATCGTAGGCAGGCCAGCCTAAATGTTTCCAACACACACACACCTCAACCATACACACACACACACACTCCAACACACACACACCTCAACCATACACACACTCCAACACACACACACTCCAACACACACACCTCAACCATACACACAGAACAACGCACTGAGGCTATCGGATCACTCCCAACGCACACCCCCAAACACCCCTACACACACACCCCTACACACACCACACACACACACCCCTACACACACACCTAGCACACACGCACACACACCTAGCACACACGCACACACACACTTAGCACACACACACACCTAGCACACACGCACACACACCTAGCACACACGCACACACACCTAGCACACGCACACACACCTAGCACACGCACACACACCTAGCACACACACACCTAGCACATACACACCTAGCACACACACACACACACACCTAGCACACACGCACACACACCTAGCACACACGCACACACACCTAGCACACGCACACACACCTAGCACACACACACCTAGAACACACACACACCTAGCACACACGCACACACACCTAGCACACACGCACACACACCTAGCACACACGCACACACACCTAGCACACACGCACACACACCTAGCACACACGCACACACACCTAGCACACACGCACACACACCTAACACACACGCACCTAGCACACACACACCTAGCACACACACACACCTAGCACACACAAACACCACACACACCACACCTAGCACAAACACCACACAAACACCACACACACCACACCTAGCACACACACCACACAAACACCACACAAACACCACACACACCACACCTAGCACACACACCACACAAACACCACAAACACCACACAAAAACCACACACACCACACACACACACATCACACACCACACACACACCACACAAGCACACACCAAACACACACATCACACACACACATCACACACACACACATCACACACACATCACACACACACACCACACACACCACACCACACACGCGCGCGCGCGAGTGCCGTTGCTGCTCTTACAGACGATTCGGAGATGTGCGATGGCGTTCCAGCCCCGGTGCTGTTGCTGCTGCTGCTGATGCTGCTGCTGCTGGTGGTGGTCGTGCGAGTAGTGATGATGATGCCCGCGACTCTTCTTCCATTGTTTCTGCGAGCAGGACGTGGAGCGGCCGTAGTGTGCCGCGCAGAGGCGCACTCCACCCCGCACCTCCCGCACCTCCCGCACCTCCCTCCCCCCTCCTCCCCCCTCCTCCCCCCTCCTCACCCCTCCTCCCCCCTCCTCCTCCCCCCCCCCTCCTCCTCCCTCCCTCCTCCTCCCCCCTCCTCCCCCCTCCTCCTCCCCCCTCCTCCCCCCTCCTCCCCCCTCCTCCTCCCTCCTCCTCCCTCCTCCTCCTCCCTCCTCCCCCCTCCTCCTCCTCCCCCCTCCTCCCCCCCCTCCTCCCCCTCCTCCCCCTCCTCCTCCTCCCTCCTCCTCCCTCCTCCTCCCCCCCCCTCCTCCCCCTCCTCCTCCCCCCTCCTCCCCTCCTCCTCCCCCCTCCTCCCCCTCCTCCTCCCCCCTCCTCCCCTCCCCCCTCCTCCCCCCTCCTCCCCCCTCCTCCCCTCCCCCCTCCTCCCCCCTCCTCCCCTCCCCCCTCCTCCCCCCTCCTCCTCCCCCCCGCCTGACGATGCCCAGGGTGGGTGGGGGGGGGGTCAGTGCGCGCTACCGTAGCGGTCGCACCCCAGACCCGTTCACGCCACACGTGGCACGTGACACGCGCTAACACACACACAGAGACCTACACACACAGAGAGATCCACACTCACACAGAGACCCACACACACAGAGACACACACACAGAGACCCACACACACAGAGACCCACCCACACACACAGAGACCCACACACACAGACACGCTGAACAACAGCCGCCGATAAGTGGCGGTGACGTCACTTCGGCGCGTGTGTACCAGGCTAGGTGCACTTGGGCATGCGGTGGCTGGACATGGGGGCTCCGTGACCCAGCCAACGCAGGCTTGCCCGCCGGAGGAGCTCACCGATGGGACTGTGTCGAGGTCACTCAAGGATTTGTGAGCTCCTCACACAATCCAGTCTGATTAAACCCAGGATGGACCGTAGGCAGGCCTGACTGAATGTTTCAAGCCAGTTGAGGCGTCCGTTCCTGTAAATGGGTCCACGTTTCGCAAGCACGCAGAAGATAAGAGAGGCTTAACTGTGGCCGAAAAGACCCGAAGCTTAGCATGGAGCGATGGGCCAGGTAGCTTCCACGTAGCGTTACGCACTTAACACACAAATATCATCACAAAACCAAAGATCCCGTAAAGACTGTTAGGACCAGTGCTGTTATAGCAAGCACCTATGAAGGATGGCAGGAAAGAAAATGGGGTGGGTGGAAATCATCCACGGCCCGGCCGCCTTCGTCTCCCCAGCACTTTTGTTTACACACTGCACCGGGTACTTATTTAAGGCTGAGTCGACCTGGAGGGGGGGGGGTCTCAGGACTATAGGTTGAAAATATTCGCCACTGTTATTTGGTCGTGAGCAGGAATTGAACTGCTGCCGTAGGCAATACAGCAAAAGTAGGTTTTGTAGACGAGCTCCGATACTTGGGACAAATATTCTCGGCAAGACCCTCCTGAACAGATTGTCTCGAGACTCTGAGAGGCACGTTCTAGATCGCGATTTCAAATTAATATCCATTGTCATCGCCATCATCATCATCATCCGCCCTCGATCAACTGCTGGATGAAGGCCTCCTAAAAGCCGTTGCCATCTCTCGCACTCCTGCACACCAGCTGATTGCATTGCTCCATCTCATAGCTGTCAACCCATACGATTTAACCCCATATTCTCGTATAGGTAAATTTAGTTTTCAGATCCATACCGCATACAGCGGTTTCAATACGGGCAAAAACATTTTTTGTCGACTTGTTTGTGTTTCTCCCTTGCGATGGGACTTTGTAGGATGAACGTTGAGATTTATGAAGGCACGGGGTGACCAATAAGGTCTGAATTGGTCTGTAATAAGGTCTGAATTGGTCTGTAATAAGGTAGGGCACTGAGAAGGGGTTGACATGTATGTATGCCATCTCCACGGTTGTTTGTAATTAAATCCTCGAAACAAGGCCAAAAGTGCCTATGTGCGCGATCTAACAACCCTGAACCAGTGGTGGAAATTCCACATTCCTATGACCGACGCCGGTCTATTCACATATGATGAAGGCGGATTTCAACAAAGTGGTACGGTATTATATAATCTTTTTTTTATATCGACCCACTAAGGGCTGATGATCGTGGTTGATTGAATTGGGTCCCAAATATGGATTTGACCAAAAGCCAAATGCGCGTAAAAAAAGCTACACAGGCGTAACATATCTATTTGTATTTTCACAGCTGCCATCGCGAGTATGCACTGATGTACACGTAAATAAAATTGAATTAAACCCCCATCGATTCGTTGAGGTCACGGGGCTTCGCGCTAATGGCTTCAGCACGAGCAGAGATGAAAGCGATCAGGGCGCGCGACGGAAACCCGATCCGTGCCAAGCTCACCCGGGGCTCGCCACTGCCACTGCGGTGCCTCACCCGGCTCCCAGCACGAGCACTGGGCCCACAGCCAACACAAACACCCAGCCCAGCACCCAGCCCTACACCCAGCCCTAGCCCTACACCCAGCACTACACCCAGCACTAGCCCTACACCTAGCCCTAGCCCTACACCCAGCACTAGCCCTACACCCAGCACTACACCCAGCCCTAGCCCTACACCTAGCCCTAGCCCTACACCCAGCCCTAGCCCTACACCCAGCCCTACACCCAGCCCTAGCCCTACACCCAGCCCTAGCCCTACACCCAGCCCTACACCCAGCCCTAGCCCTACACCCAGCACTACACCCAGCACTAGCCCAGCACCTAGCCCTACACCCAGTCCTACACCCAGCCCTAGCCCTACACCCAGCACTACACCCAGCACTAGCCCAGCACCCAGCCCTACACCCAGTCCTACACCCAGCCCTAGCCCTACACCCAGCACTACACCCAGCACTAGCCCAGCACCCAGCCCTACACCCAGCACTACACCCAGCCCTAGCCCTACACCAAGCCCTAGCCCTACACCCAGCCCTAGCCCTACACCCAGCCCTACACCCAGCCCTACACCCAGCCCTAGCCCTACACCCAGCCCTACACCTAGCCCTACACCCAGCCCTAGCCCTACACCCAGCCCTAGCCCTACACCCAGCCCTAGCCCTACACCCAGCCCTACACCCAGCCCTAGCCCTACACCCAGCCCTACACCCAGCCCTAGCCCTACACCCAGCCCTACACCCAGCCCTAGCCCCACACCCAGCCCTGGCCCTACACCCAGCCCTAGCCCAGCACCCAGCCCTACACCCAGCCCTAGCCCTACACCTAGCCCAGCACCCAGCCTTACACCCAGCCCTAGCCCAGCCCTACACCCAGCCCTACACCCAGCCCTAGCCCTACACCCAGCCCCACACCCAACCCTAGCCCTACACCCAGCCCTAGCCCTACACCCAGCCCTACACCCAGCACTAGCCCTACACCCAGCCCCACACCCAGCCCTACACCCAGCCCTAGCCCTACACCCAGTCCTACACCCAGCCCTAGCCCTACACCCAGCCCTACACTCAGTCCTAGCCCTACACCCAGCCCTACACTCAGTCCTAGCCCTACACCCAGCCCTAGCCCTACACCCAGCCCTATACCCAGCCCTAGCCCCACACCCAGCCCTAGCCCTACACCCAGCCGTACACCCAGCCCTAGCCCTACACCCAACACAAACACCCCAATCCAAACAATAACCCTAACGCGGATACTAACCGTATCCTACCCACTCCCAACAAATAAACCTCGTCGAATTTACTGTATAATTCCAAATCCCAATTTTACGCATATTTACACTTCAATTACCTTCGAGCAAATCCTAAACCTCACCACACATCTAATCATAATCCAAACGACAATTTCAACCATTACCATACCTACAACCCAATCACAAACTACAAGCCAAACCCAACCCATAACCTGTTCATAACCCAGCCCTAACCTCATTCAGACGATTTGGTGATGCTGTGTTGCCAGTGATGCACAAGCAAAGCTACTTAAATGAAGTCAACGAGTTCGTCATGAACACTGTTGCCTTAAAAATGAAATAACAGGCGACGTTTCAGGCAATGACCCTTCACAGCATTAAGCACTTTGAAGCTTTCGTGACTGCAAGGATTGATATTCTTAGGTTTTTTCGGTAAAGTTACGTAGGTAAAAAATGAAAATTAATAAAATATTGATACAGCAATCGTGCTGTGACGGTTCCACCTGAAGACGGAAGCTTGTGTTGCCTCCGAAACGTCGTGACTTTTATTTTATTTTTATTAATTTGAATTTTTTTAACTACGTGACTTTACAGAAAAAAACCTAAGAATATTAAGCACTTGAGCCACAGCGCCACCATGTGGTAAGGCGTGCTACTAGGACAAATTAAAACCCTGCTGCCGTTGCTCCGAAAGTTGTTGTAACTGTAGGCGAGAATCAAACTTGAGTCGTTGGGGGTTCAGAGCGCACTCACTGTGCTTACCACAATGCCACCACTCCGCTTGGCACAACCCAGAGATTGTTGACCTTTTTGTGTCGAATAATCTCAGAGGGCAGGGTCGATGGAATGAAACGCAAAACCAAATCTATTGTATTCGATGGTGGGGGGGGGGGGTTCTTGGTGGTTCGTGGCTGGACGGAGAACATGACACATTCACACGCCACTCAAATGTCTCAGGAAAGCGGGGAAATTTTATTTCTTTACTTCACGTCCGCAGAAACGCCATCGCAATTACCATCTTCAAATGCCGTAGTCGCGACAACCAGAACAACTGTAAAAAGAAACCATTCCCACCTGTGGGTGGCCTGGTTAGACGCGTGCTCGCCGACAATTGAAATATTGGGTAAGGGGCCTTTCCTCTAGGCCTCGATATTCTCTCTCTCGGTCTCAGCCTTCTCCTGGGCATTCCTGATCTCCCATAATTTTCCCGGGCTGCTGGTCTCAACCGTGTACTCTGCCCTGGGTCTCCATCTGCTCAATAATGCAGCCATGATCTCCACGAGCTTATATCTCAGGGCCGACGGATTCCTCCCAAATGCCTCGTTCTCAAATCGGTTCTCAGATGGTATGTAATAAAGGTCATCGGTATCTGATCTCCTCCCAAGTGTCACTAGTCCCCCTTTCCCTCGGGGTTCCTGGCAGAGGTCGCAACCAGGTACTCGATACCCGACTACCCTACCCGATACCCAGCTACCCGTACCCAGTCGGGTACGGGTACCCGTTTGCGACCCTGGTACGGCCGGGTACGGGTAGGCCGTGAGTCACTGGTGAGTAACCGTTTGTCACTCATTTCCCAACGTCTTGTCTCTTCTCACAATTCAAGTTCCTAGAATCAACCCACCCACGCTTGCAACATGGTTTCATCCCAGAGGTCGCAATCGGGTACCCGATACCCGTGCCCTACCCGATACACGTGCCCTACCCGATACCCGGCTACCCGTACCCGATTAGGTACGGGTACGGGTACCTGCGACCCTGGTGCGGCCGTGTACGGGTAAGGAATCAAAACCCGTTTGCGACCTCTGGTTCCTGGTCTCGTCCAGCCAACACCGTCCGTCGAGTTGAGACATCGCGGCGGCGGCGACGGTGACGAACGTCAACACCAAGTTGCCGCGGTGTCGACCCGGCGACCTGGGTCGGCGATGGTCGGCTACCGTTTGCGCAGCGTCTTGCCGAAGGTCACCTCGTCGCGGTTCCGGATGCCATAGCTGTGGCGACAGGAGACGTTCATTTCATTGGAGATGCGGCCGTGGTCAGACATTGAGACTTGCACTTCCGGTCAGCCAATCATCATCATCCTCATCATTGAATCAACGTCATCATTGTCATCATCATCATCATCAAATTGGTCTTGGGTCCATAAAATGAGTAGTCACTTTATGGGAAATCAAGACCGGGTTACATTGCTTGTTAGAGCAGGGAGACGCATAAGTGCACAAGACAAAGATCCCCCGTATAGTTTTAACATACTTTTTTGGTGCAAGTGCTGTTAGTGAGCAGCATCTAGGAAGGCTGGTACGGCACACGAGGTGGTTGGTGGCTCGTACCATATCCGCCGCCTTTGCTTTCCTCGTGGCGATGTTTACACATCGCACGAGGTACACATTTGAGGCTGAGGCGACCTAGGGGAGGCCCAAGACCGGTTCAGACAAGCATCATGAGCGGGAATCGAACTTGGGTCGTCAGGTTCGTAGTGCAGTGTTCTAGCCGCTACGCTACCAAAGACAAAGACCCCCGTACACCCTGAAACTGTTGGGGCAAGTGCTCTTAGCAAGCACGTACACGACTGCACATACACAAACGCGTACAGGTATTATGCACTATAAAGTGTGATCTATTTATAGACATCCCACAAATACTGAAATCGTCGAGAACACATTCCTGCGGAGGGAGCTGGTAGGAACGTTGGGTTGCTCGGTCAATGGCCAGGGTCAACGGCGGCGTGGTGTATTGTGCAAATATGCCCGACTGTGAGGGTGGGCACAAGCCGGCGTGAGTAGGCTAAACGTTGAGTTTTATAAGGGCACCACGGGGTGACCAGCCCCTCCCCTCCCCACCCAGCCCCACCCCTCCCACCCAGCCCCACCCCTCCCACCCCCCACCCAGCTCCACCCACCCCTCCCCACCCAGCCCCTCCCTCCTCACCCAGCCCATCCCCACCCACCCCCTCCCCACCCCTCCCCACCTTCCCCTCCATACCCAGCTCCTCCCTCCTCACCCAGCCCCTCCCACCCCCCACCCAGCCCCACCCTCCCCACCTAGCCCCTCCCTGCACGACGGACAGACACAATAATCCCCTGTGGGCTGGTGTAACCAGGAGGTTCCTACCAGTAAACCTCCATTTAATTTCAAAGCCTCTTCACGTCTCCTGCCACCCATGTCAATGCACCTGTTGAATGTTTGCGCTCTTGAATCATGCGACCCCCGGATCATCGTGGCAATTTGTGGACCGGTTGAGGGGTGGGGAGGTGAATTATTACCCACCCAGTGTTGACGTACAACTGTTCTTCCCATAATAGAATGTGACAGCAACATCTTATGAAACTTTACTTTCAGTATAAATAAGTGTATTCATTAATACACTTGTCAATACCGATGGGTTTGTTACTCAATAGGAACTAATATGTAACTTATGATATGCCTATTGAAAAGTGTTCATCAGCAAACATTTAAACACGGTGTAATGTGCAGCCCACGGATTCTTGTCCACTACCTCTCTGGAACCTCCATTTACGAGCTATGTGGAAGGGTGATCGCGCACAAAAATAAAATCACCGATATCTTTCTTTTTCCGGCAGTGCTGTTGACGAGCATATTGAGTTTGTATTTGTGCTCATGCACCGCTGCACGATGCAGCGTCACCAAACAATACAGCGTCAACTTAAGAGGCTTGAGGTTTCTCAGTGGTAGCAGCGCAGTGTAAATCCTCTGCGCTGCTACGGATCTCTGCATTACAGCATCTGCAAGTGGATGCCAGGGGTCCCAGTGGCAGCGTTTGTTTGGGCCTGGTAAGGACCATCTTTGGTTTCCGATCCTTGACTTTGATTGTTGCTCCCCGTACCGGGAGGTCGAAGAGATGACGAGAACAGCGAGGGATCGCGTGAAGAGGGGGGGGGGGGGCGTGGGAGGGCTGTCGTCATCACCCCCCCCAGTGGTGGGTGGACGCGAGGGGGATGCCGAAACTCACTCCTTGAGCAGCTTGGAGTCATCGAGCAGCTGGTGACCCTCAAACACCATGTGGTAGGTCCTCCACACGTACCTCCTGCGCAAAGACAAAGATCCCCCTTGTAGCCTTAACGGACTGTTGGGACAAGTGCTGCTGTTTGTGAGCACCCACGAAAGCCGGCAGGGTTACACGATGGTTTGGGTGGCCGGCTCAACGCCTAGCCGCCTTCGTCTCCCCAATGCTGATGTTCACACGCTGCACGTGGTAGTCTTTAAGGCCGAGTCTACCTAGGGGAGGCCCAAAACTGGTTCAGATGATGAGAAAAAATTATGAAAAAAGAATAGGCTTTAGCCTTTCCGTCAATAATACAGGCGTGTTAAGGTTCAGATATTCGTGGCGCAGTGCACTGACCACTGTGTCACCGCTCCACACGCGAACATACGCACTCGCATGTTCTGCAGAAGTACTGGCTGGGCAATGAATTACACTTCGGTGTGTGCGTCACAAAATAAACATGCCTCATGTGAGCATGTATATGGCATGAGTTTGTGAAACTCTACGGGAGTCTCTGTATATTTAAGCACGTTCATATATGCCTAATGTAAAGAAAGATTTCAATCCTCTGTGATATACATCAAATTTTTTCCAAAGCATGCCAAGGTGAATGCTTTGGATTGAAGCAAGGGTAAAGAAGATGAAGGCACGATCAAAAAAGCAACGAGTTCTAGACATCACATCGACTATTAAATCAGGCTAAGTGGGCAGGACACGTCATCGCCGGAATTGACGACGGCCGGGTGGTCGAGGCCAACAATGGAATGGCAGATGAAAGAGGTCATGCGCCCAAGCGGACGACCCTCACGCCACGGAGACAGAGAAGTAAAATCGTTCCGTGTGAAGCGTTGCATTGTGAAAACGCGAAATATGGCATGGGAAGAGCCTCATCCAGCAGTGGACAGATCACGGCTGACGATGACAATGTACGCGAAGTGGTGACGCACCAGCTGACGAGGCGCGTTCGAGACTCGCGCTCCATCTTCAGCTGCATGTGGCGCCGCAGCGCCTTCTTCAGGTCGAGCACCGACGCATCCTGCTGCACGACGACCGCTGCACCACACACATCATCACCACCACCCTCATTATTACCACAAACACCACCATCATCATTATTATTACCACCACCATCACAATCATCGACGCCATCACCACCATCATTACCACGAACAACATCGCCACCATTGCCATCATCACCACAACCATAGTCATTATCACCGTCGTCATCATCATCACCACCACCCTCATCATTACCACAAACACCACCACCATCATCATTATTATTACCACCACCATCACAATCATCGACGCCATCACCACCATCATTACCACGAACAACATCTCCACCATTACCATCATCACCACAACCATAGTCATTATCACCATCAGTCATCATCACCACCACCCTCATCATTACCACAAACACCACCACTATCATCATCATTATTACCACCACCATCACAATCATCGACGCCATCACCACCATCATTGTATTACTACCAACACCACCACCATCATTCTATTACTACCAACATCACCACCACCATCATTTTATTACTACCAATATCACCACCATCATTGTATTACTACCAACATCATCACCACCATCATTCTATTACTACCAACATCATCACCACCATCATTCTATTACTACCAACACCACCACCACCATCATTCTATTACTACCAACATCACCACCATCATTGTATTACTACCAACACCACCACCACCACCATCATTGTATTACTACCAACACCACCACCACCATCATTGTATTACTACCAACACCACCACCACCATCATTGTATTACTACCAACACCACCACCACCACCATCATTATATTACTACCAACACCACCACCATCATCATTGTATTACTACCAACATCATCACCACCATCGCACGGCCGAACGGTGTCTCCTTACGCAGGATATCGCCGTCTCCGCGCACGACCCGCACCGTCATGGCGCGGCCGTGCTCCAGGGCGATCTGGGACCGAATCTCCTCCAGCGTCACCTGCGCAGCACGACGGCAACAGCAGTCGTGGTCACAGTCTCTCTGCTTTGTCAGAATATTGTTGCCGCGTTGTCACATCCACAACGCGTCCAACTGCCGCAGTTCGCAACACTCCTCTCTTCTGCTCCCTCCCTCGCATTGCTCCGCTCTGGGAATTCAGACTCGTCGTCTCTTAGCCCCCCCCTCTCCCCGCTCCGCCCCCCCCCCCCCCCAAGTTCTTACAAGAATAAACTTGCTCAATTCTCGTACGTTACCACTTTGATTGCGCTGTAATTGGTTGATGAAAAATCTTGAGGACCCTGGATTGGGATGTTGGGTCCATGCCGTTGCGAACTATTTTATGACGATGACAACGCGGATGACGATGTACAGGGTGGTCCAGACGTCTTGTTACCGCCATTTATCAAAAACTGAATATTTTTACATACTAATGGGTGTGTAATGTAATGTTAGCAATATATCACTTCATTAAATATCATCATTGTCAATATTAATAATGTCCATGTTAAGGGTCCAGCAAGTCTATCCGAGAACCAGCATCGACTTTGGTGGCATTTCCTACGAGACATTTTAGGCAAAATTGCCAGATCCACTTCAGAAAAATGTATTATTCTTAAGAGCATCTTTCCATTCTTCTGTTGTCCTGTACCTTTCTTTTGAGACACATCCTTTGAAAAATCTCCATGGTGAGCTATCACAGGAGGAGAGATCAGAACTCCTCGGAGGCCAATTATGCGGTGGTGTCAAATTTATTGAGCCTCTGCCTATCCAATTATCCCCCAAAAAACTTAATTTAGGAATTCTCGAACAGAGATTGCGTAGTGGCCAGGTGCCCCATCCTGCTGAAGGCAAACAAGCCCAAGAAGATTTAAACTTTCCAGCTGTGAAACAAACCAATCCTTCAACATGGTTAGATACAAACGTTGGTTAACAGAACCAGCAAAAAAATAAGGACCAAACAAATGTTTGCTTGATATCGCCGCCCACATCATAACATGTGGTGGATTATGTTTTGACCGTTCGTAATAACGTGGATTAACTTTACTCCAAAAATGTTTTACATTTCTATTACGTGCACTGCGATAAATTGCAACATTCGTCCGAAAACAAAAAACCTTACCACGTTGTGGGATCGTCTCAAAAACTTCACCAAACTGGCCACAAGCTTCGCTCCTTTTTTGTAAGCCCGCATCGCTTAGCTCGTTGACAAACGTAGGCTTAAAAGATTTCAATTTACGATAATCTTTCATGCACGTTAACAGTGTGGTTTTTGGGATACCAAGTTCGGATGATCTTTTTCGGAGTGACTTTTCGGGCGAGTGCTCGACCGATTGGGCAACTGCTGCGCATTGCTCCTTTCGCTTAGAAGGTCTCCCAGTCCTTATTTTGTCCAATATCGATCCTGTGGAAAACAGCTTATGCTCCCACCTCAGTATTGTCCATTTTGGTGGAGCGTCTTTGTTAAATCTTTCACAAAAATCCTTTCGGACATCTTTCATAGTTTTTCTGGTGTGTGATCTTTCATGCGCCCATATGCTCACTACAAGCCGTTCTTCAATAGTATATGAACTCGTATCAGCCATCTGAAATAAATAAGTAAGGTTTATTTAAAACACAAATAAATAAGCAAAGGGAACAAAATGTTAGGGGTCAATAAATTCGGTGGGGGGGGTGGGGGTCACAAGACATCTCGACCACTCTGTACATCCACTGCTAAATGACAGCCTGCCTACGCGATACGGGTCGTGGGGAGTTGATCGACCAAACTTTACCGTGTTCGTCAGTGTGAATTTAGGACAAGTAGTACAAACGTGGGAGCATTGTAGCGGAGCACAATAGATTGTGCTGCACTATAACTACCTCTGTGTGCATGGCGATTGCCAATCCACACGCTTTGCATCAAACTAGGACCCATATCTAAGAGAGAGGGTACAGGCCTGTACACAATCTGGTAGTCCTCCAGCAGATTCAAACACGCCCGACTCTGCTGATGAGGCAATGATTGTCGAAACCGGTCCACAGTTTCACTCATGTTGAACCAATGGTGCCGGAATGATGCGCTCCCAGAAGGCCGAGAATGTGTAAAGAAAAAAAAAATTATATAGAGGGAGAGATGTGTGAAAAAAGGCTTATTAATTTCCACACACTATTCATGTAAAATCCTGGTTGGCATCTCAGATTTGACCAGATGGGGTACATTAAACTGGTCAACAAAAAAAGCATTTTTTTCTGGCCCGGACTTTTGCAGCTGTTTTAGACTAATTTCAGGGTGCTGATTCCAAATCTGATCTCAGATTTGCTCTATCACATCTCATTTTATGCTATCGGCATACCCCATTTTCATTGATTTGACCCGAAATTAACTCTGTCACTTATGATTGCAAGTTGTTGCGAGTCAGTGACTGCTTTAGTGTTAAACTATGGTGCTGTATTTTTAGGATAGTGCGTTTATAATATAATTTTTATGTAGATATCCACATTTATTTAATATTTTTCTTCTGCAGTTTTTATTGAAAATGCAATATTTGATATCTCAAAAAACCTGATGTGATAGACAAAAACTGATGCCAGATTTGGAAGCAGCACCTCAAAATTACCTTAAAACCGTTGGAATACCTTATGCCAAAAAAAATGTGTTGACCAGTGTTATAAGTGATGAGGTCATAGGCTATGTATTTTTAGGTTTTTTCGGTAAAGTCACGTAGGTAAAACATTAAAATAAAAGTAAAATAAAATAAAAATCACGACGTTTCGGAGGCAACACAAGTCTCCGTCATCAGGTGGGACCGTCACAGCCAGATTTGCTGCATCAAGTGAGGCAATGATTCAAGATGTAATTCCTTAAAAGCAAGTTGAGGGGGGAGGAGAGGGGGGGGGAGCTCATCAGAATGTGGTAGCCAATGAATTGAATGTATCGGGAGGGAGGGAGGCGGGGCTCAAAGACGGCACGAAGTGCCACGTAGAACGCATCGGGAGGGGGACGGGGCCAAAAGAATGCACGACGTGGTACACGAGAGTCGGCAACGTGGACGTGGTTGTGCGCAAGCAATCACTGCTGCACACGCCAACGCATTGGACAGAGAGGGGGAGGGGAGGCCAAAAGAGAGTGTGGGGTGCAAGTGTACGTGGACATGTGTGTGTACAAGCACCTGTTGATACACATGATAGAAAAGAACGAAAATGCCCATGTTTATACCAGTGCTGGCTGACAATGAAGAGAGTACTGTTAAACACTGGGGATGTTAACACTCGGTAAAGTAAAGTAAAATAGTGCCTGTCAGATAAGATGGTCTACAAATGTGTAATTAAGTCTTTTTTTTTTGCGTGGTTGATAACATCTTCCAATGATTACTAAGTTTGTACCCATCATCACGGTTGAAATTATGTCTGTGTTTGTATATTTGTATGGCTTCGTGTACAAACCTTTGATGGTAGCCAGGAGGTTTGCAGAGAACCTTGGTCTCGGAAAAGACAATTTCATGAGAGCCCACCGAGTTGTAGCAATGATCGGCAACGGCCGAAGAATCAGTTCTGCCATGTTTCAGATCTGACTTGTGCTCGCGGACACGATCAGAAACATGACGTTTCGTTTCTCCAATGTAGCAATCACCATTGGACATAATTTCAACCGTGATGATGGGTACAAACTTAGTAATCATTGGAAAGATGTTATCAACCACGCAAAAAAGACTTAATTAAACATTTGTAGACCATCTTATCTGACAGGCACTATTTTACTTTACATTACCGAGTGTTAACATCCCCAGTGTTTAACAGTACTCTCTTCATTGTTCAGCCAGCACTGGTATAAACATGGGCATTTTCGTTCTTTTCTGTCATGTGTATCAACAGGTGCTTGTACACACACATGTCCACGTACACTTGCACCCCACACTCTCTTTTGGCCTCCCCTCCCCCTCTCTGTCCAATGCGTTGGCGTGTGCAGCAGTGATTGCTTGCGCACAACCACGTCCACGTCGCCGACTCTCGTGTACCACGTCGTGCATTCTTTTGGCCCCGCCCCCCTCCCTCCCGATACGTTCCATTCATTGGCTACCACATTCTGATGAGCTCCCTCCCCTCTCCTCCCTCCTCAACTTGCTTTTAAGGGATTACATCTTGAATCATTGCCTCACTTGATGCAGCAAATCTGGCTGTGACGGTCCCACCTGATGACGGAGACTTGTGTTGCCTCCGAAACGTCGTGATTTTTATTTTATTTTACTTTTATTAATTTTAATGTTTTACCTACGTGACTTTACCGAAAAAACCAAAGAATATGAATCCTTGCAGTCACGAAAGCTTCAAATCTAGAATCATAGGCTATGGTGACGATGACGATGAAGAAACATTACTCTACCACCTCCAAAGACAAAGATTCCTTGTATAGCCCTGCCCGCCTGTCTCCTCAGTGGCAATGTTTACACACTGCACCAGGTACTCATTTGAGGCCGAGTCGACCTAGGGGAGGCCCAGGACCGACAGGTTCAGATATTCGTCACCGATGTTGGCTGCGAGCGGGAATTGAACTCGGATTTGTAGCGCAGCGCACGAACCGCTGTGCCACTGCTCTACCTCCTCCCTCACCCCCCCACCCCCCCACCCCACTGACCCCCACAGGGAGGTCGCACAGCAGGGGGTCCTGAAGTATCCTGGCCATGCCCTCCTGGAAGACATCCAGGAACTGCGTGTGGCTCATTTTCTCCTCGTCCTCCTCGTCATCATCGTCTTCCTCATCCTCCTCATCATCGTCATCTTCCTCATCATGCTCTCGTTTGGCATCTTCATGAACTTTGCCACCAGCAGCTTCATCACAGGAAACGTCAACATCAAGTACGCAAATATCACCGTCATTGTTTTAACACTGTGTAACAAAACACTTTTTTTTTGTTCCTGGGTAGTGTTTATTTCCTAATTGCTGATGCCTCAAAAGTACATTAAATGGTTATTATTCCCCACAAACTTTGCTTTTTTGACCAGGACAGTAATAAATCTTGACTTAAAGCTTTCGTGACTGCAGGAATTCATATTCTTGGATCTTTCGGTAAAGTCGCGTAGATAGTGTTGCGATCGAAATGTAGTTTTTTGTAATGTTTTGTTTGTGGGGAATAATAGTCATTTTCTATACTTTTTAGGCATAAGCAATTAAAAAATAACACTTAGTACCCAGGAACAAAAACTGTGTTACAATCGCCACCATCATCGCAACCTTAATCATTATCACCACAATCATCCACACCAATTGCCCACAGCTACGACCATGGACTGGTGGAGTGGTGGTGCCATGGTTAGCGCACCACACGATTAATTACCGACCACGGCTCATATTAGTAGCGAGTGACATCTGCATCAGTCCTGGACCAATCTCCTTCCCCAACCTCCATCACCCAGCGTGAAGTATGGTCAAACAACCTCTGTGAGCGACATGGCATTGGGAGGCCTTAATCCAGCAGTGGACTGACAAAGGACTGCAATTAATATCACTGACGCTGCTATTAATAATCACTATAACCATCACCACGATCCTTACCATCAATACCATCCTTCAAATTCAGCATCACTTCCTTTACAATCATCGAGCGTATTAACACGATTACATCATTAAACTTCACCTCCATCCCCATCACCTCGTCGCTCCTCTTCATCGTCTATGCGACCTCCAGTCTCTTCATCGCGAGTCTCATCCCTGGTCTCCTCTGCCTTGACCTCATCTGCCTTGATCTCCACGTTGGTCTCCATTTCACGAGCGGGGGAGAAGTTCCACTCTGTGAGAAGGGACAGGAGAATTGGGCCGCGAACCAAAAACCTGGGACGTCAACTCAACAACCCTACCCAGGATTAAAAACCCTGGACTCAACAAACCCAAGAACCCAGGACTCAAACTCAGGACTCACAAATTCAAGAATCCAGGATCCACAAATTCAAGTACCCAGGGCTCAAACCCAGAACTCGAACCTAGAATTCAGAAATTAAAGCACCCAGGACTCAGAAACTCAACAACCCAGGAATCAAACCCAGGATTCAAACATTCAAGCACCCTGGACTGAAACCCATTACTCACAAATTCAAAAACCCAGGATTCACACATTCAAGAACCCTGGACTGAAACCCATTACTCACAAATTCAAAAACCCAGGATTCACACATTCAAGAACCCTGGACTGAAACCCATTACTCACAAATTCAAAAACCCAAGATTCACACATGCAAGCACCCTGGACTGAAACCCATTACTCACAAATTCAAAAACCCAGGATTCACACATTCAAGAACCCTGGACTGAAACCCATTACTCACAAATTCAAAAACTCAGGATTCACAAATTCAAGCACCCTGGACTGAAACCCATTACTCACAAATTCAAAAACCCAAGATTCACACATGCAAGCACCCTGGACTGAAACCCATTACTCACAAATTCAAAAACCCAGGATTCACACATTCAAGCACTCTGGACTAAAACCCATTACTCACAAATTCAAAAACCCAGGATTCACACATTCAAGAACCCTGGACTGAAACCCATTACTCACAAATTCAAAAACCCAGGATTCACAAATTCAAGCACCCTGGACTGAAACCCATTACTTACAAATTCAAAAACCCAGGATTCACACATTCAAGCACCCTGGAATGAAACCCATTACTCACAAATTCAAAAACCCAGGATTCACACATGCAAGCACCCTGGACTGAAACCCATTACTCACAAACTCATGCACCCATGACTCACAAAGTCAAGCACCCAGGACTCTTGAACTCAAGTGACCAGGACTCACAAACTCAAGCTCCAAGTGTATTTGTGTTACCACCATGTGAGCAGCTCAAAAGACCTGGGGATGAGTCTCATTTGCGAGAGTGATTCACAGTGGCAATGGCTGTCCTATAAACGTATCGTGTGCGCTCCCCACGTCTCTCCTGCCCGCGTTCACACCGACCCGCATTAACCAGCGCGGTGAAGTATGGTCGTGCCACCACCACCCGAAGCCACCACGATTGGCGCGGCCCTCATCCAGCAGTGGAGAGAGACGGGCCACTCTGGACTGGTCGCACTGTACCTTAAATACGCGGCTCCTCCTGATTGGTTGGTTCACGACAACGTGACCACCCCTCCCACCGCCCCCCCCCCCGCCGCTATCAGCCAATCACAGGCGAGCAATGTTAATGAGGGGGGAGGGGCGCCTCGTTCCGGTCACGTGGTCGGCTCGTACAGTTCCACGCGGCGAGGTATAGTAAGGAGTGCAATATTTGTACAGTAATTAATGTTTTACGTTTCGCTGGGGGGTCGTGAATTTAAAGTTGCGACGTTTACCTCGCCGAAATTATTACGTGGGGGGGGGGGTTTCGCGTAAAGAATTCGGGGCCAAATTTACGATTTTAATCGACAACAAAAAAATACCGCCAGAAATGAAAGTGAGACTCGGGTGTTTATTTACGATTTTAAATTATAAAAATGTATCGCCAGAAATGAAATGCCCACAGAGACTCACGTGTCCGGGTTTGACTGCGGGTTTCGTGTTGTTCTCAAAACTTGAGCGCTTTCATCAACTCGTACGAACCCGCGGTGTAGTAGGGTCAAGCAAATGGCCATTGTCAAAATTAAACTATTGTTATTTCACCATACTCTACGTGACTTTACCGAAAGAACCAAAGAGTATGGATTCCTGCAGTCACGAAAGCTTCAAATCTAGATTTATTTTTACCAGTTAAGACCCACTGAGTTGGAAAGCTATTTTGTTTTAGAAGCGACTTTGATCATCACAAATGATAGCTCAACCAAGTGGCTTATCACGTGTGGGCATTTAACGCAGTAGCAATGCACGTCGGTTCTAAATGTGGAAGGGAAAACTCGGAGGAACCAGAGAAAAATCCACGCGACCACGGGGGGCGAAAGAGAGAGACACGCAAACTGCAAATACACAGCAGCAGCAGCAGCAGGCGTCGGGGTCGGGTCGAACCCACGACCTCCTGCGTACCTGGCGAGGTGGTCAACATTTCGCTCCCACGGCTTTGTGAGGCTATCATTCAGCAGTGGAGTGATCATAGCTGACGACGATGATGATGATGGACTGCACCCACTCGCGAGCTCACGGCGCCACTAATCGCCGACGGCTGGGAATGGGGCCTTTTTAATAGCATTTAACTGCTGTACACGTAGTAGTAGGTTTTTACCCTTTTAAACTGGTACAAAACTGACACCTTTATTCAAAGCATCATGTTTGCAATAACCACAACACAAGTAGTCAAAAAAGCAAACAAAAAGAAGCAACTCTGATAATGATAATAATATGCACTGTCCTTGAAGTTGATTCAAGGACTGCATATTTTTATCATTATCAAAGTTGCTTCTTTTTATTGCAAACATGATGCCTTGAATAAAGGTGTCAGTTTTGTACCAGTTTAAAAGGGTAAAAACCTACTACTATATTTTGCCACTGGTAAAAGAGATCTCAGTGTAAATACTATACACGATTTATATGGAGAAGGGTCGTTGCCGAAACGTCGCCTGTTAAATATTTAACCCTTGTAAAGTCACGGTGTTATTGCCGAATGTTTCGAGGTTTCGTTGTTTGTTCTTGTGCACCGCTGCCAGACAGCGTCACCAACAGAACGTATATTCTCTGTACGTTCTGTTATCTCATTCAGTGAGCATGTACACAAATACATGTTGATGAATATATAACACAGTTTTTTCTCATTAAGAGGGAGAAAAAAATCATCATGGTCGATTTGCCTTGAGAAACGGATGAGAGTCAGATGGGTGGGTGGTGTAATATGAATATTTACTTTATAGCCTTGCCTCTGAGGAAGTTTTTATCGAGACACAAGGCGTCCCCTGTTTATCCACACTCTTGATTTTGTGATCGATTGGTTGTTGAGATCCAACGGCCTAGGATCGACCCCCCGGGGTTTTCTTGTAAGTATTACGCCTGGCTGCTTGACACAGGGGCTAGGCCAGGGACTGGCAACCAAAACAAGGTTTTTTTACAGGGAGGAACAATGTTCCACACTGCCCACCAGGGATTATTTAGCTGTCTGTCTGTCGTACATAAATAAATATATAATACACACAGCTCTTTGATTGGTGGAGACCTTACAAACAGCTCTTTGATTGGTGGAGACCTACTGCCGGGTACGGAGAGGGGAGGTGCCTAAGGGAGGAGGGTCAGGGGAGGGGCCTAAGGAAGAGGGGAGTCATGAGAGGGGCCTGAGGGGGGGTTCAGCGGAGGGGCCTGAGGGAGGGGGGGTCAGGGGAGGGCCCTAAGGATATGGGGGGGGGGTGCTCAGGGGAGGGGCCTAACAGAAGGGGGGTTAGGGGAGGGGCCTAAGGGAAGGGGGGTCAGGGGAGGGGCCTGAGGATATGGGGGGGGGGTCAGGGGAGGGGCCTAAGGGAAAGGGGGTCAGGGGAGGGGCCTAAGGGGGGAGGAGCCTAAGGGAGGGGGGGGGATAGTTAAGGGGGCTGTCTGCCTGGCTACCTCAAGTCAAGTTATCTTTTATACATACAGGTAGGAACAACAGGTTCCACACTGCCCACCAGGGATTATTTGTCGTGCACGAATACGCTGTCCAACCAAGTTCCTACCTGCCCACTCCGAAGGAACGTGTTTTATTCAGTAAACACATTCCTGCGGAGGGAGCTGGTAGGAACGTTGGGTTGCTCGGTCAATGGCCAGGGTCAACGGCGGCGTGGTGTATTCCGCAAATATGCCCGACTGTGAGGACGGGCACAAGCCTTTTGAGTAGGTTAAACGTTGAGTTTTATCAGGGCACCACGGGGTGACCAGCCCCTCCCCACCCAGCCCCTCCCAAACCCTCCCCACCCTCCCCACCCAGCCTCACCCCTCCAATTTTTGTATGCACGACGGACGGACACAATAATCCCCTGTGGGCAGGTGGAACCAAGTGGTTACTACCAGTAAAAAAACAAAACGACATTTCAAGAGCCGCAATGCCACGTGGCGAGTCGAGACGGTGGGTTCATCAATCACGTCACAAAGTAGCCCTTCAAAGAGCCCACACGGACCTCCGGAACCGCAGATTGTCGACCCCTGGGCCACGGTTATGGTTCCCAACATGTTTGGTATGAAGGCCACCCCTCCCAAAGAGTGCCCTGGGACCCCTCGTTCTCCTCGGAGAGATCACATGTCCATGCCTCTGGTCAGCGTGTGGTGTTGTTAATAAGGCGTTTGTTTCATGTTGTGCATTCGTGGTGTGCGTTTCTGCCCAAACGTGGCACTGATGTTACCCCTTGCACGATCGAAATATCTCCTGCACGGTATCCATTCTGCAGCCTGTAACTCCCCCTCGCCCTGGGAGACAGGGTGGGAGCGTGACCCACAGGTTGAGAACTGCTTGTTTAGGACTTGCACAGGGTGTGGGTTTGACTGCGGGTCTGCGTGTTCAGTCCCCAGGCTCCGTGAGCTCTGCTGCGAGGAGAGGAGCGATGCTCCTGTTCTGCCCGACGTGTGGGAACGTGCTCGTGGTGGAGGAGGGGCAGAAATGCTTCCGCTTCGCCTGCAACACTTGCCCCTATGTGCACAGCATCACGCGCAAGGTGAGGCATCGGCCGGTCCCTGGGTATTGTGACGGGTGGTGTGTGTGTGATGCGAGGGGAGTGATGTGATGAGAGCTGTTTGTGTGTGATGTGAAGGATGAGATGTGGGGGAGTGATGTGGTGAGTAATGTGTGTGTGTGTGTTGGGAGTGGGGAGCAGTAGTGTAGTGGTGAGTGCAGTGCGCTATGAACCCAGTGACCCGAGTTCGATTCCTGCTCACTGCCAACACCGGTGACGATCATATGAACCAGTCCTGGGCCTCCCCTAGGTCGACAAAGCCTCAAATTAGCACCTGGTGTGATGTGTAAGCATCGGCACTCGAGAGACAAAGGTGATCTGGTATGGTACTGGCCACCCACCCACTCATGTGCCGTGTGAGCCTTCCTAGGTGCTTGCGAACAGCATGTGCCTCAACAGCCTTCTATGACGTGTTTGTACCTGGTTATGTGTCCACGTGCAGTGCAAGAGCCGTTTGCGTTTTTTGTTGTCGTTGTCTTCCTTTGGTCGACGCTGTTGCAACGTGCCGGAGCAGATTACGTCGCGGAATTACCCGAAGCTGAAGGAGGTGGACGATGTGCTGGGTGGAGCCAAGGCCTGGGAGAACGTGGACTCCACCGCAGGTGTCTCCCCTTTCTTGCATGAACCATCATCACGCGAACTCCTGGTCATCCTCGCAGCGGCGCCGTTTGGCTCGCCATCGAACAAAGACGGTCACGGCGTCGCTCGCGCTTTCAGATGCACTTCTGTGACTGTCTGGAATGCTCCTGCCGATATTAGGAAGCCGTTGGAGCTCTGCACTTTTAAATCATCCAGATCGAAAACTAATTTCTTTCAAACTGCTTTTTGTGTTGAGTTTGTCGTCCCCCCACCCCGCACCGCCGATTAGCACGGTTGGCTATGTATGGTGCGAAAGAAGTTCAACGTACCGTACATCTTAACGTAGTTTATATAGCTCTATCATCTCCTCACCGTCATGCACAGCACAACTTCCCCGCCCCCCCTCCCCCTGTCGCTCCGTAGATAAATTCTGGACTGTGAAGCGCACTTTTAAATCCTCTAAATGTTCTGAACCCTCTATGGATGTTCGTTATCATTTTTGCTTGCTCGGGTGTGGGTGCGCGCAGCGTTCCTTATATGTTGCGTGATAGGCCGTTGACTTGGGAATGTTTCATTTAATTTATTATAATCTATTTTTACTCGCGAACAACACAAAGTCTGTTAAGGCTACATGGGGGGGGGGGATCTTTGTCTTGTCCCCCCCCTCTTCAGAGCAGTGCCCCAAGTGCCAGCACCCCCGCGCGTACTTCATGCAGATCCAGACGCGCTCGGCCGACGAGCCCATGACCACCTTCTACAAGTGCTGCAACGCGCAGTGCGGCCACAACTGGCGCGAGTGATCGGTGCGGCGCGACGCTGGCAGGCCGCAGCACCGCCCGTGATGGGGCGGCGACGACGACGTCGTGCGGTCTCTTTAATGCCCCCCCCCGAGGCAGCGGACACGACGGAACGGTGTGGAGGACGCTTTGTTGATCCCCTTGCGGAAAGGATCGTGTGGTGGCTTCATTTGTGGACCCGTCCGGCAAAGGTTCACCGTGTGACGGTGCCAGTGAGAAACATTTTGTGAAGTGATACACACACACACGGGCACAGGAACTATTACATTATCGCTGAATGTTTTCCTGGTAGTTGGTAGACCTGGGAAGTGTTCGTCTTCTGAAGATGGCTGATGTTGATGTCGATCAACAAGTATAATTTTACATTAAAGCAGTTGAGCCAGATAATCGCTTTCAGTAATAGCGGAGTGTTTCGCTGGGATGACTGGGCAATGGTGCGTGAATACTAATCACGGACATGGCGGGAGGTATCCTGGATGTGAATGTATTTTCTGGGTCACTAACGCAGCTGTAGTTAGGACGTTCGAATCACGAGGGTTGTGAGCTCGAATCCAGGTCAGAGGTCAACCAGGAGCCCAGTCCATCAGGGGTCAGTGAAATGAGTGCCAACTCTTGTAGGAAGGGAAATAATAAAATAATATAAAACTATAAAATAAAATAATTCTCACGACGTTGCGGCCACAACACAACAGAGCTGTCGGAAAGAAAGCGTCCCAATGAAGGAAGTTAACAGTGAAACTGGCCCCCGTCGTAGAAATGTGGATTTTCCGCCACTGCCTCGAAGTCGGTAAGGGAGATAAGTCTGGCCTCCATTGCTCGTATGATCGACGACTTGACTTGCAACAGGAAGGGACACTATAATTGGATAGACAAATATGATGACGTAGACAAATATGATGACGAAGACCAAGATGAAGACCCCGTACCTCCGATTAGCAGTTTGCTACGTACGGCGCGAAAGAAGTTCAACATACATACTCAAGGAGTTATCTGAACCAGAGAGAGAAAAAAAAACACCAATCTCCTTCACTGATCTCAAAACTTGGCATGATTGTTACTTTGATTTGTACATATTTTTCTCAATTGAACTGACATCAGTTCCTGGAACCATGCAAAACACAGGATTCAGAGTTACACTCAGCACTGCTTTCTGGCATCAGATGTTTTGTGTCCTAACTTTAAAGTGTTGCTTATTTTGTACTGCACAGCAATAAAAACCCCCATAAAAATATTTTAAAGTTGCCACAAGACACATTCAGCCAAACGAGCATAAGTCACGGGTGGGATTTAATCGGACATCAGAGCGAAGTTATTGTCACGAATGATAAATGAGGATCACTTGCTTCTCCATGTTTGCGTTTCATCATCCTTTATTTCAACGCAAATGCCTCCAGTGTGCCGTTTCACGTTTGAACATTAAATAAGTGTGCGATGCACGCCGACGACTGACACGCGAGTTGCACGCAAAGTCGATCCTCGTTAGAAATAAGAAGATGCAACGGGTCGGTGTGACATGCGTTCGAAACAAAGTTTAAAAACTAATTTCAACTACCGCGCTGAGACGCAAAGCGGATTCATGACAAGGCGAACAAAAGTGCCTCTATGACTTCGCAATACATTACTCGATTAAAAATTCAAGTGTCTGAAGCCGTCATTGTCGTTACGGAAATTAAAACTCGAGTCTCGCGAGGACCCTGACTCTCGTGGAAGTGCGTTCGGACGTCGCGACAAAAAACTCGCGGCTTTAAGTGCGGACCAGCAAGGCGCATATTTAAAAAAAAAATCATTTCAACTTACATATTGACAAACGATGGACCGTGTAAGTGCACTTGGGAGGTGCAAGTCGCCGTTCACCGACGAGCGGCCTCGAATGGCTCCCAGAAACGGCGAAATTCAACTTAAAGATTATTTTCTAAGGAGGACAAAGGCACGGCTTGGAGGAGCAACAAAAAAAAATTGGCTAAAAAAATTCAGGAGGTGCACACTTCATTTTTCGACCAAAGTTATTGTTCTTTAAAAGTGGGACTCGAGCCCGCCCCCCCCCCCCCCACCGCTCATTGTGCAGACGCTGCTATGGCTGTGCTTGCTTCATGACCCGGACAATCCTGTTGATTTTGTACGTGGATCCGGGCCACTGAAAACGAGCTGCCGACTGACCGCTGATACCGCCAATTCACCCGCGTGCGTTCAGTTTGTCGTTTGGTATTTGAAAGGGTCCAGCGACAAATTTTGTGGGTGTGCGTTGGTGGGGGGACGGGGGGGGTGGCAGGGTCGGCGAGGTGATTCACTTATTTTCGGTAAAATCAATGGAGCTGTAAACATTTGGGTCAGATTCCATAACGTTTATAAATTGTAAACAAACCATAAATCATTCCTGAAATAAAAAGAATAGCTGTCAACCCAGCTGAACAAGCACCACTTCCTCCAACCATGACTGAAGCCATCTTACATTCCTGCCCAGCGCCACTGGAGCTGGTTTTGTTATCACGACTTTGCGGGTCGTTAAGAGACGAGGTGTTGGGAGGGCAGTGAGCGACCGACGGTAACTTGGCGCGGCTTAACTGGCGGCACCCCAGGGATGACGACGAACCCTCTGAGTCATGGCGACGTTGGCCCCGTGTGTCGGTTAAAGGAAGAAGATGCGTCCCAAAAGGCGAAGCCTCTGTTGTTGTTTTTTTTTTAATTATGCGATCTTCAGACTCGTATAAGACAGCCTGGGACACGAGTCCTGTGTGCCAGCTACAAGGCCACCAAAAAAAAAACGTTTGTTTTTGTGGTCCTCGGGTGCCACCAGCTGCACGCGGGGCAAGAGGGGGCGGTTTCACTTGCGAACGGCGTCTTGCAGGTCCGTCTCGAGGAACTCCGCGCTGTCGGCACGAAGCACGACCGCTCCGCTCCGGTATTCCAGCAGCTCGGTGGTGGCGGCGGCGGCGTCGTCGGCGAACGGCATCGCAAACGCCAGGACGCCAGGGTTGGCGTTAACGCCCGTGCTGCTGCTGCTGCTACTTCCGTTGTCTTGCTGCTTGCGGTTACGTCGGTAGCAGCAGCTGCCGCCACAGCAACGCCGGTGCCGTCGCCGCTGCCGCTGAACGTAATTAAGTCCGCCGCCAAACTCGAGAGCGCATGGCCGCACGAGCGCGATGCAAATGGCGGCAAGGGCCACGGCAACGCCGGAGGTGTAGAACGCCATGAGGTAGTCTTCGTCCGCCAGGTCGACCAGCCAGCCTAAGCGGGGGGGGGGGGGGGGGGGGGGGGGGGAGGGATCATAGCCATAATCAATCCACTGCTGGATGAACGTTGGCATCTCGAGATGCTGCGAAGCACACCGCGCTCGGTTTGATCGCTTCATCTGCGAGGTGTCTTTCCCTCGGGGTGTGTCCCTTCAGTTGGTTGCCACTCCGACGTTAGTCTCGGCCACCGGCCACCGACGTCTCTGCCAGCGACGTGTCCTGCCCCGAGCCGACTTTGCTCTTCTTAACCCTTTCCCATTCCGAGACGTCTGTAAGTTGCAGGGTGGGGTGTCCTGTTCACCGCTAACTCTCGGAACGAGCGAGCGGCTCAGCGTTTAGTTTTATTTAGAGACATTGTACTCGCCGCAGAGAACCGTCGCGACACAACCGCCGCACTCCACGATAGCTGGCAACAAACTGCCACATGAGCCTCCCGCATGGCCTTGTGGGAGCCTCGGTAAGTCTACCGACCTGAAGTCTTCCGACCTGAAGACGTACTGATAAAGTTATTTTATTTTTTATTCCAATTCTGTTCCGATGACGTAAACGTACGTCATCGGAATGGGGAAGGGTTAAGTCAATACAACGTTTGAACTTGCATTTGTTCTGGCTGTCAGTGTAATTCCAAGCATTCTCCAAGCTTCTGTGCACACTCTTTAGCTTGTGTTACATCTTCACTGTCGATGTTCATGTTGATGAATCATATGCCGCCATAGCAGCTAACATACACTGATGAAAAAAAAACTTTAGAAACGTTAAAGTGCAATTTAATTATTCGTACTCCCACTAACCATAACTAGGCAAGCAACCATGACGGGCACGACCCTTCTCGCATACCACAACCGCGCCGCTAACCCCCAGCACCCCGCCGCGTTCTGCCCGTCTCCGACAACCATCCGCGGAGCCCCGGCCCTACCGGCGAGGGGCGGCCCCAGCAGCCCGGAGAAGCTCTGCACGAACACGTAGACCCCGAGTCCCGAGGAGAAGCGCCCCGGCCCCACCACCTCGGGCTCGGCCAGCACGGACACGTGCGTGCCGGCGACGGCGCCGAACGCCAGGCCGAAGGCGGCGCTACACGACGCCAGAGCCGCCATCGGCCGCCCCCAGCCGCCGCCGCCGCCGCTGCCGACGGCCGCCACGGGGAAGGCGAAAAGCGCCACTGCGACGGCGCACACGCAGACCAGCTCGAGGTAAACGCGCGGCAGCGCCAGCGGGCGCGAGAAGAGCCACCCGGCGGCCGAGCGGCCCACCAGCTCGGCGCCGGCCATCGCCGACAGGAGGTAAGTGGCCTCGGTAGCGGGCACGCCGGCGTCCAGCGCCAGCGGCACCAGGAAGAGCCCCGGCGGGAAGAATCCAAAGGAGATGAAGGCGCCGAAGAGCGCGTAGCAGGCGAAGCCGGGCTCTCGCAGCACCGAGAGGTCGAGTAAGGTCATTGCCGCGGGTGCCGGCTCTTCTCTTCCGTCGTCGTTCGCGTTGTTGGCGCCAGCTTCGTCGTCGCTCCAAATCGACGCCGCTTTGGAGCAACCGCCCTCGTCGAATTCCTCTTCCTCCTCGTCTCCGCCGGCACAGAAGTCGTCGGCAACGAGCGGTTGTGCCGGCGCCGGAAAGAACAGCGACGCCGCCGTCGCTGGTGGCGGCAGCTGCACGCAGACGCCCGAGTCGTCGGAGTGAACCGTCGTCCGCGTCTGCTCGTTCTCCCGCATGATGACGATTGTGGCAGCGGCGGTGACGGCAGCACCGTCGTCGGTGCAGGGTTGGCGCCGGCCCGGCCGGTCGGCAGGTGACGGCGCTCGCAGCTCCAGCGGCCGGAGCAACACTCCACAAGCCACGATGATCGCCTGTCCAGCGCCGATGACCAGGAAGGAATGGCGCCAGCCCACGGCCTCGTTGAGACGCTGGAAGCCTGCGCCGTGGAGGCAGCAAACAGGCGGTTAGCCAACTATTGTCATCTGGCATACTGCATGGCGCCTCCCCCCCCCCCAAGCCTCCCCCCGGGCACCATCTCACCAGGCGCGAACGCGAAGGTGCCCAGGCACTCGCCGGTTGTGGCGAGCGCGATGGCGAGGGTTCGGCGCCGCTCGAAGTAGCAGGAGAGCGCCGAGTAGCAGGGCAGCGTGCTCAGCGAGATGCCCAGGCCTACGAGCCCACGACACACAAGGGAGGTCAACGAGAGCTTCACCCTGTGGAATAGACTCGGCCACCCCGCCCTCCGCTGTCTCAGGGCTGCGGATGGATGAGCACCGCCGCTAATAATCGCTTTGATGCTTTTCTTGTGTACACGTGTGTGTGTGTGAGTGTACAAAAACAACCCCCTACCTCGTTGCTGCTGGACGGCAACGCTGCGGTGGGCAGTGCCGTGGGGGGGAGGACCAATTTAGATTGGCCTTTCCCCTCATGGTGTTTGTAACCACCACAGCGGCCAAATGGGAGCTTTGGATGGGTGCGAGGGCCTGGTAACCCCTCCACCTTAAATCGCTCTTTAACTCCAACAACAAAGTAACCTGCAGCGCCACACCTATTACCATCATTAGGGGAAAGAACGGTAATCCAATCTCCAACCCCCAGGAACAGGTTTGCAGATTTGCTGAGCATTTCTGTGAGGTCCTGGGGGAAGGGAAATCCCTCAGTCTGGAAAACATTGCGGGACAAAGTGGGGATGACCCTGCTGAGGCTGCGGTGTCTCAAATATTGGAAGAAATCACCCCCATTTGTTGAGGAAATACAGAGGGTGATCCGGAGTCTGAGACCAGGAAAGGTACTGGGCAGAGATGATCTCCCAAGCAAAATGCTGAGGGAGGGTGGCGTTTGTGCACAGACTAACCTACATGACATCATAACAACAGTCTGGACCACTGGCTGGGTTCCGCAGGATTGGAAGGATGCCCTGGTAGTCCCCCTCTTTAAGAAGGGGGACCGCACAGACTGTAACAACTACAGGGGCATCTCACTCCTCAGTGTACCGGGAAACGTCCTGGCAAGGATTATTCAACATCGCCTTGCCAGGCACGCTGAGGAGAGGCTTGTGGAGCCCAAATGCGGTTTCAGGAAAGGGCGGTCTTGCACAGATGCCATATTTTCTGTCCGTCTGTTACAGCAGAGGTGTAGGGAATTCCAACAAAACCTACATCTCTGCTTTATTGACCTGGTCAAAGCCTATGATACCATCAGTAGCCCTGGGCTCTGGGTTATTCTTCGTGCTTTCGGAGTCCCTGACCCTCTGCTCACGATCATTAAGGACCGACATGATGGTGATGGGCCCAGGTAAAACTACGTGTCCGGGAGTCGGAGCCATTCCCTGTACACCTTGGGGTGCGACAGGGATGTCCTCTGGCTCCCACATTATTTAACATCTTTTTCGACCACGTAGTTCGTAAAGCCTTCGATGGCTGTACCGGAAGAATTTACATCTGATACAGATGCAATGGGAGGCTGATCGATGCCCGGGTGCGGTCAAGGGATGGCTCCCTATTGGTCAACCACGTTATGTATGCCGATGATCTGGTAATTGCTGTTCACTCAGAGGAGGAGTTGGAGGTGCTGCTGCTGAACCTGGAGCTTGCCACTAAGAGGTGGGGCCTTACCATCAGCCCCACCAAAACTGAGCACCTGCCTGGGTATTTTGTACCATCGGACACTCCACCCCCACAACTCCCAATTGGTGATGGGGCTGTTGTGGAGAGAGTGGAGAGTTTCCCATACCTGGGCAGTGTGCTCATGACCGGCTCCGGTTTGACAGCAGAGGTCTCACTCCGAATCACTCGAACGGCATTATCTTTTCATTGGCTGCATAACGCTGTGTGGAAGCTACCTGTTCTGTTGCTCCGCATGAAGCGAGGTCTTCTCAGCCACGTTCATTCCCTCCCTTCTCTACGCTTGCTAAACGTGGACCCCCCTAATGGAGCATCGTCGTCGGTTAGAAACATTTAGGCTGGCCTGCTTACGATCCATCCTGGGTTTAACCAGGTTGGATTGTGACCTCCTCCAGCAGGCAAGGTTGTGTTGGCTGGGTCATGTAGCCCACATGCCCAGCCACTGCATGCTTCAACAGCTTTTGTTTGGCCGGATCGAGGGGGCTAAACGGGCGCGACACGGGTTAGAGAAGAGATGGAGTGATGTGGTACAGGAGGACGTGGAGCTGAGTAGACTTACCGATGACTGGTACCAGCGGTGTCAAGATCGGCCTATGTGGAGGTGGCTCGTGAAGGACGCTACTGGGCAGTTGGAGGCAGTCGCCCTCCAACAACAACGGAGGGCAGAGGAGCGACGCTCACAACAACGAGCAGAGCGCCAGGCACATCAAGTTGGCACAGTAGGGGGCACAGGTGGTGCATCAGCCAGTCATCTCAGTCGACCTGTGGAACCTGGGTCTGCTCCGTGACCTCCTGCCAGCGGGCGTTCGACACTTCACGTGGCCTCAACGTGCACATAGCCTGGCACAAGCGTCGTTGTGATGTCACTGTCACTTAGTGGCGAATGGCGGTTGTTGTGGGGAGCAGAAGTGTTATCGGTTAGCGCGCTGCGCTACGAACCCGGTGACCCAAATTTGATTCCGGCTCACGGCTAACACCAGTGACGATTATCTTAACCGGTCCCGGGCCTCCCCTAGCTTGACTCGGCCTCAAATATGTACCTGGTGTGGTGTGTAAAAAACTTCGCCACTGGAGAGACAAAAGTGGCCGGGCGTGGTGCTGGCTTCCCACTCCCTCGTGTGCCATGCCGGCCTTCGTAGGTGCTCGCGAACGGCACTCGCTCATAAAGTCTGTCAAGGCTCTACGGGGGATCTTTGTTTTGTGGGGGGCCGTGGCGCAGTGGTTAGTGCGCTGCGCTATGAACCCGGCAGGGACCCGAGTTCGATTCCCGCTCACGGCCACCACCAGTGACAAATATCTGAAGCGATCAAAGACCCCCCCCCCACCAGGTCGACTCAGCCTTAAATGAGTACCTGTTGCGGTGTGTAGTAAACATCAGTGGTGGGGAGACAACAGCCGGGCCGGGTGTGGTGTTGGCCACCCTTTGTGCACCGTGGCGGCTTTCATTGGTGCTACTCGCAAACAGCACTTGCCCCCAAGGCTACACGGGAGATCTTTGTCTGTTTGTGTGTGTACGTGTGTGAGTTGTGTGTGAGGCTCATGAAGGACGTTACTGGATAGTTGGAGGCAGTCGACCTCCAACAACAACGGAGGGCAGAGGAGTGACGCTCACGACAACGAGCGGAGCGGCGGACGGCTAAAATGCAGCAAGCTGGCACAGTAGGGGGGGTACAGCTGCTAGCATTCGACAGTCATCTCAGTCAGCCAACCCATGGCACCTGCTGGGTCTGTTCCGTGACCTCCTGCCAGCAGTGAGCCCTCGTTACCATCACTTAGCGGTGAACGGCGGGTGTTGGTATGGCCGAGTTGTGCCCACCGGTGACGAGCCCCAGGGTGAGGTAGGCGTGCGTCAGGGTGTGCGACAGCGCCGTGCTCATGGTGCCCACGCTGGTGATGACGCCGCCGACCATCACCACCGCGCGCGGCGAGAAGCGGTTGCCCAGCACCGTGGTGACGGGGGCTGGGAGGGAGGCACGCGGAGGGGGGCGACAGCACGTTAGCGTGTGGTTGGAGCAACGTTTGCATGCGGTTGGACCAATGTTGGTACGTGGTGGGATCAATGTGATTGGAACCGTTGTCCCAAAGTTGGTGGTGGGGGGGTGGTGCGGGGGGGCGCGGAAAGGGGTAACGCGGGCGGGCGGGCGGGCAATGACGTCTCACCGCAGAAGGCGACAACGAACATGCAGATGGAGAAGATCCAGGAGACACCGCGCGCGTGCGTGTCGAAGTGCGCCATGAGCTCCGGCACGAACACGCCGTACGCCTTGAACGAGCCGATGGTGACGGCGCTGATGGAGAAGAGGGCGCCCACCACCACCCAGCCCCAGCCGCCGTCGGGGACGACGGGGTACACGCGCGGCGCACACAGCCGCCCCCACCAGCACGCCATGGCCCGCCCACAGACGCCACCGTCGTCACCGTCGTCGCCGCCACCGTCGTCGCCGTCTTCACCGCGACCAGGCACCGCCAGCAGCACTGCCACCACCACGGCTTCAACAGTCCGTGTCGGGTAAACCGAATAGGATGGACTCTGCGGAGGATACCCAAGCAAAGGAAGCAACGCAAGGCTCACTGCGTGTTTGTATGGAGTCATCCATAAGAGGTGTTTTTTTAATCTGTGGTATGATCACGTAAATATGTGTCGTTAATCCTGCCACCACCCGACACAGCCAATTAGTTAGGTTTGTCACGCTGAACAAAACATGGCAATTCGTGACTAGTTCAGCACAACGGTGTGTTGGAGAGTAAACCCACAACATTTACACCAGCGTGCTGAACTAGTAACGAAACAAACCTTACTAATTGGCTGTGTCGGGTGGTGGCGGGCTTAACGACACATTTATATTTACGCGATCTAACCCAAAAAAAAGCCTCTATTATGAATAATATTGGTCGCGAAAGCCTAATGCGGGTTAAACTGTATTGAGTCACTCGTAGGATTGTGTACAGGGTGTTCTGGATGTCTTGTGACCTCCAATTTATTGACCCCTAACAATTTTTTGCCCCATTGCATTGTAATTTATTTGTTTAAATAAACCTTACTTTAATTTAAAAAAAGATTTTTAGAGAATTAAATGGCAGGGGGGGGGGGGGGAGTCACAAGACATTTGGACCACGCTGTACACACACACACAATCATAGAGATGTCTACACAGACACGCATAGAGATATATTCACACGCATAGAGATATACCGTTGAGGTGGTGAGATGTTAACCCTGACAATGCCTGTTTATTTGGCGTTTGCGTGTCTCTCTCCCCTCGATCGCGTGAATTTTTCTTGCCCCCACACTGAGAAACATGCGTTTAAGAGCATTCGGCTGCTATCAATTTCCACGTGATAAGCTGCTTCGTTGAGCTATCATTTGTGGCTATATAGCTCAGTGGACCTTACGTGGTAAAATAATGTCACGGCGGTATCACGTGTCTCTCTCGCTCTCCCTCCGGGAGTCCACACCATGTTTTCACCGCATGGCAAAGCCATAACCCGCCCGCCCCTCCAACCTCCCAATGGTTTCACTCTCATATCCGGGCCAGTCTGGCTACGCGACTCAACAGGAGACAGAGCGGAAGAGGGAGCGGCTGACAATTGGAAGGAGGGGTCGTGGGGAAGTTCACAGTGGTTGTCCGAATGTGGAACGTCCACCACTGGCTCTGCAGGGCATGGGCACAAATGCCGCGACGCTCATTTGAGTAGCAGGACATCACCGTGAGTATTGAAGGTGGCTCGTGACGGCCGTGTCACGGATAACGAGGCGGCATGGCTGCGTCCCTGTGATTGAATCCAGGTGGCCACCGGTGATGGAATTGGGCTTGCGGGTGCAGTGAGGTGATGGCGTCAGCCCGGTCACAAACAATCGCACGCAAAAAAAATCGGTGCGTTGAAGTTGGGCCTTTCAATGAATCCGGTACTAGCCAGCAGCTTGGTACCTGTGGCACGGGAAGGGGAAGTCGAGTCAGGGGGGGAGTCCTTGTGCTTGATCACGCGTTCGTTCTTTCTCTCTGCTCGCCCCCTTCACTGGAACAAACTTCCCCCTCCACATTCAGGGGTCACCTTCACTCACGAGTTTCCGCTCCTCCCTCAAAACTCACTTTTTCTTTCCCCCTAGCTCATCCCTTAATTCCCCCCTTCTAACCACGGCCGTCCCCTGCTCCCTCTTCGTAATCTCTCTCAATGACGACCACTCATTCCCCATCCATCCAATCCATTCATCATCATTTGCTCTCGTCAATTTCTCTTTTGCTTCATTCACGCATCGCGATTTCGACCACCTTCAATTCCTCATCTATTTCATTCACCATATCTGCACCATTACTTTCATAATGATAAGAATAACTTCACTTTATATAGCATCATTCATGCCAACAGCATCGTACCTACCGCTGTTAATTCTCCGTAATGCGCGCTTGGTATAGGCGCTGTATTAATTACAATAATATTAGGATGTTAGGCATGGGGAAAAAAAGGGGGAAGGGAGGGAGAGAGAAGAGATAGAATGGGAAAGCAGAGGAGGAGGAATGTAAAATAAATCAAGAAATGAAAGCAAAGGGTCAGGAGAGATGAGGAAGAGGCTCCTATAGGTGCCTCGGCGCTGCTGCTCCTGCACGGAGGAGCAGAGTCTGTTTTCAGAGTGGGCGGCGACAGGGGGGTGGGAGGGGTTCAGAGATGGCGTGGCCGCGAAGAAGTCACGTGATTTACGGGAGGCTTGAGCATCGAGATATATTCCAGCTGTGAGGACGACAGCTGTTGGTCTGATTGCCACGTGAAGAATGTCTCTAAACGCCACCTATAGAAATACAATTATAAATCATTCAGTGTGGTGTTAAGTCCTGTATCTAAAGTGTGTATTACGTATCGGGTATGACTACAGAATGTGTGACTAAGTTAACATGTTTTACTTTAGTGTCCATGACAGTGGCTGTCTTTATGGTGTACTTGAGACTGCCATCGAGATGTGGAATTTCTACCTCCGTCCGTATGTATGTTGAACTTCTGTCGCACTAAATTTCCATTTAAAGCTTTCGTGACTGCAGGGATTCGTCTTCTTGGTTCTTTCGGTAAAGTCACGTAGAAGGAGAATAATAAAATAATAAAAATAAAACATAATAAAATAGTTTTCAGTTTATTATTTTATTATTTCGATTTAAAGCTTTCGTGACTGCAGGGATTCGTCTTCTTGGTTCTTTCGATAAAGTCACGTAGAAGGAGAATAATAAAATAATAAAAATAAAACATTATAAAATAGTTTTAAGTTTATTATTTTATTATTTCGATTTAAAGCTTTCGTGACTGCAGGGATTCGTCTTCTTGGTTCTTTCGATAAAGTCACGTAGAAGGGAGATAATAAAATAATTCTCACGACGTTTCGGCCACAACGCACGCAGCCGTCCTCAGGTGAAGAACAGGTCTGTCGGAAAGACAGCGTCTGAATGAACACCAATGAACACCAAGCCAGACGAACAGACCTGTTCTTCACCTGAGGACGGCTGCTTGCGTTGTGGCCGAAACGTCGTGAGAATTGTATTTTATTATGTTTTATTTTTATTATTTTATTATTTCCCTTCTACGTGACTTTACCGAAAGAACCAAGAAGAGGTTCTGTCGCACTGTACGTAGTGAGGGAAGACATCAAACTAAACACGCAAAGGCAGTTGCAAAGAAATGAATCCCTCCCCTCTGGGAACCCGGTCGCTACCCCCGCCCAGTATTATATGGATGAGCGGCAAGAACACGGACCTCAAATTTTTTTTTGAAATGTCATCCGCCAGAGGCTATGCTACGGAACGTGCCTTTTTTGTAAACGATTACATCTGTCGTGGGATGAGGAAAACTACACGTTACATGTTCCCCCAAAAAATGGATAACTATTCTGGCATCTGTAAAAAAAATTTGATATATATACATACTTTTTTTTATGTAGAGGGTTTTAGTATTTGCGAATCTTTGCAGTTTACAGTACTGTATGATTTAAGGGCTAAATGTTGCATTGCCATACACTTGATTTGATGTCTGTTCAAAACGATGTTCCAATCGCTATCCGACTGCTGAAGAAGTTATTCATTGCAAAGAATATAAACATGTAGGGTGTAAAATGTACTATTTTTCGATTTAAAGCTTCGTGACTGCAGGGATTCATCTTCTTGGTTCTTTCGGTAAAGTCACGTAGAAGGGAAATAATAAAATAATAAAAATAAAACATAATAATTTTATTATTGTATTTTAGGATGTTTTATTTCTATTATTTTATTATTTATTATTTCCCTTCTACGTGACTTTACCGAAAGAACCAAGAAGAAAAATGTACTTTGTTATTAGGCAGACTGAATTTTTTATTTTATTATAAAAGCTGGGATGGGTTTTTCATGGGTTTTTAAGCAGTCATTGGGTAACAAAAGACTGAGACAATAACTACACTACACTTGCAGGATCTGTGGCAATACAGGTGTTACAGTGCATTTATTGATTACAATATATTCTTAGTCTAACAATGCCAAAAAAAACACACTGCTATGGAAATGGCTATCTCATGATACATCGATGGGACTGGAAAACCCAGAAGTGGCTCTGGCGATCAGATGGCCGAACCGGCATTGCTTGAGCTACCTGGGTTCAAATCCAGGTCTCGGTTACCTCCAATTAAAACTGGGTTCTCTCAAATGTAATGTTGTGAGTTGATGTCTCAACCCCGGCCACCAAAAAAGTCTGCACAAAACTCCCCATCGCATTAAATCTGCTTCTGCACTTGGCTACATTTGTGCTCAATTCCAGCGCTTGAGAATGTAAAAGACCGCTTCGTATCGGGCAGGGCTGTCGTGTGACGGAGGTCACTCGCTGCGCCAGGGTGGGTGGAAAGGTTTGGGACAAGGTGGGTCACTTCTCAGAAGCAGTTGCGTGATGTCCACCAAGTGCGGGGGCTGTTCGCCCAACACGGAAGCTTCCTGCATTGCTCTGAAATTCAATGCCTCGTGACATTGTCAATACCACCGAAAAAAAACCAGGCCAGATCACGGGTGCAAGATCCTGTGCTACTGCGCTACAACCCGCGGTGGTAAATGTGCCGGGGTCAGCGAAATGCCACACAGCATTTCGCCGGGTGGCGGTGGTGGCGGTGGTTGCTGTGGTTCAGCGACATGGAGGCAGAAGCAAGGGTTGGTAGATCACCCGCAACTGAAACCACTCATCCTTAATGTAAACGCTCATTAATTGTCCGATAGCATCTTAATATATAGAGGACCGCAGAGCTTGTGGGGTGGGGTGTGCTCACCGTGTGGCTTTGCTGCTTGTCTGTGGGTTCCTCCCCTCGCCTCTGAGTAGTTGTCTTCTCTCTCCTCCCTCTTCCCCTTCCGACAGCAAGCGGACACTGTGTGGCGTCACGTTACTCGCTGAAAATATAAATAATTATTATTCCAATCCACAACCTCAGCTGTTCCGCCGTCGTCACGGCCATTACGAGACTACTCTGGATCATCCCGCCCCCACCGCCGCTCTGTTTGGGTCACGCGGTGCCACTGTGTGGGTGACCGAAGCAGAGTTTCGCAGACTTTGTTATTTGCGTCCACGTAAACACTCCTTGTATCCAGGCTGTTGCGCCGTTGGTGGACAAAGGAAGCGTGCTTGACGTTTCTAGCCCGTTTCACTTCACATCGTCGGGGTCAATATTTCTTGTTGTTGTTGCCATGGACGGACCGGCACCCCGTCATATGAATGTGGAATGCTCACCACTGGCTCGGGCCCACCGCTCGAGATGAGGAAGTCGGTGTTTCTCTGCTCGAATGAGCTGACAGCACTCATTTCCATTGGTGGCCATGAGCCGGAAATTCCACATTTCAATGGCGGGGCCCAGTCCATTAAAAAGACTGACACTGTCATAAACATTAAAGTAAACATATAAACTGGTCACAAAGTCTATAGTCATACCCTATACACCACAACACTAAAATTCACACACATACTATACACAGCCAATGAGGATGTATCTCCTGCAAGGATCTGCGGTCAGGGGAGGCAGGGGAGGCAGAGCCTCACCTGTGATACTCCAATGAAAATAGCTGTTACGAAAAGTAAAAAAATAATAATAATCAAATCAAATAAATATTAAGATTTTTCCACTGATCTGTTGTTATAAATGTAATTTCTGTACGATTACAATCATTTTTATCGTCAAAATCGCCAAATTTGCGGAGCTCCGCTGCAAATACAGGAAGAGACGAGAGGTGAGGCAGCGACGAGCTCAGCCTCCCCTCTGATTGCGCAACCCCTCAGTAACTGGATGGAGCGTGGGCAAGAAGCGCGTGCCTGTTACTATCTCAGTATGTCACCAATGTAATGTTTGTAGACCCCTCCATTTCATGCCCTCGCCTTCCATAATCCAGGTAACTTATTTCACGATGTGTATAAAGATACTTAGGCTCGCTGGTCTCGTCATGAAACAGCAATGAAACAGCACCAGGGGAGGCAGCTACCACGCGATTTTGAACGATTTTTGATCCCCCCCCCCGTCATCACACGGCGTCACAAAAAGTCAGACCCCCCCCCCCTCAAATATGACGTCACAAAGCTCTGCCCCCCCCCCCAAAAAAAAATAAAACATGCTTCAAATCTCTTTAAACTATTCTCATTGTAGTGCGTATTTAATGTGCCGCTGCACTCTTGATGTTGTAGGAGAAAACATTTGTTAAAAAGTCTATTTAACTAAGTAGAACGTATTTTTGGTTCTTTCGGTAAAGTCACGTAGAAGGGAAATAATAAAATAATATTAATATTAAATAATAGTAATATATAATACCAACATTATTTTATTATTTCCCTTCTAATATTAATATATAACACCAATATTATTTTATTATTTCCCTTCTACGTGACTTTACCGAAAGAACCAAGAAAATGAATCCCTGCAGTCACGAAAGCTTTAAATCAAAATGTAAGTAGAACGTGTTGTCTATATTTATTTAAAGTTGCGCATTTTGATGTGACGTCCCATTTCTCACCCCCATCCTCACAGATCGTCACAAATGTCTGACCCCCCCCCCCCCAGGTGCGTGACGTCATTTATGGACGACCCCTTATTTAACGTCTTCTTATCATGCTTATTTATTGATATTGAGTGTTTAGATGTTGCATACGATGTGTTTAGGGTCAAAAAGGTCAACTTCCGACCGCCTCGGAACGGATGAATGCTTTCAACGTGCAATTCGTCTACAGTCGATCTACAGTTATTTCGGTTAACAGTAATCTTCGTGGAACGGATTACAAACGTGAACCGAGGGACTACCACATATCAAACATCGGCTCAAGCCTCCCGTAGACCACGTGTTTCCTCCTGCGTGGACCCCCACCCCCTCCACTACAGATTCTCACTCATTTCCCCGCCCCCTGTGAAAACAGACGACGTCGTGTGTAGCAGCGGCAGATGCCTGCCTTCAAAACGTAAACATAGCTCTCTCTCTCTCGCCTTGTGGCCAGACTCCACGACTTTAAATCTCGACAAATGTACAACACCTGTCTGCCGAGGTTAAAGTTCCAGATGTGTGTGTATTTTGCACAGTAGGGAGCACAGTGGGTGTATCAGTCAGGCAACTCGTGGCACCTGCTGGGTCCGTCCCGTGAACCTCCTGCCTGCGGGCGTTCGACACTTCACGTGGCCTCAACGTGCACCTAGCCTGGCACAAGCGCCGTGGTGACGTCACCGCCACTTAGTGGCGAATGGCGGTTGTTGCTGTTGTTGAATTTCTTTCGCACCGTACGCGGCCCGACCGTTGGCACCGCGAGGCCAACGTTGCCCCACCGTTCCATGTTTACCACCGGTCTTAATTTAGGATCCCGTGTGTGTGTCTGCACTGTATCGCTTAACCTTTAAAGTGTCGTGCGCCTGCTTGCTACGCTAATGAGGGACTCAGGTGTGAACATCGTCTACACAGGTGTGGACCAGACGCCGTACTATGTCACCTGCACAGAGCACCTACCTGCGATATAGATTAGGATCCCACGTATTTATACAGGGAACACAACATCTGTCTAATGTATTCGTCCCAAGTGTTTGTGTGTTGGTCTATGTGTACTGTACAGTTATAGAACAGGAGTGTGCTCTTGATCTTATCAATATAATAAAAAAAAACAGGTGTTCGTTTAGTCTAAAGGCAGAGATAGAGAACAGATGAGTGTGTGATCTGTATATGTACAGGTGAGTGTATGTGGTGTGTCTAGGTACAGGTGAGTGTATGTGGTGTGTCTAGGTACAGGTGAGTGTGTGTGGTGTGTCTAGACACAGGTGAGTGTGTGTGGTGTGTCTAGGTACAGGTGAGTGTGTGTGGTGTGTCTAGA